GGGACATAAACTTAGGGTAAAAATGAAAAACAGGCAATATATAAAAGGTTTTATCTAAAAGGTCCTATGTAGAAACAAAGCCGAACTAAGCAAGTGACTTGAGGTACAAGTTCGGATCTAAGAAAGCATAAAGACAGGCTTGCCATCAGTGCTTAGGACCTACAGGCCGATCAACTGGCAATAAATACAAACTGTCGAGTAACGCTTTGGGCAGCAGAAAAAGTGCAAACCCCGGCATAACTTATGGGGTATGCCGCCTAGATGATAAGCAACCCAGAATACTTTTAAACGCTATTGTCAGATAAATAACCTTTAGCACTCAGGAAAACAAATGGCAGAAACATCAGTTGTTTGCGCCGGGAGGGATACAGTTTTTCTAATCATAAAAAACATGTCAACCATGTGTCGCCACTGCTAGCCGTGCTCAAGAACTCCGACGTAGAAAGCAAAGACAAGATATGCATTTTTTCAGTCTGCTCTGATAGACAGAACGCCATTAAAGTTAATAGGACTATCTTTGTTAACTTAGGCAACGATCTGAACCCGAAAGCATAGCCCTTGTACAAAATCCTGATGTGTTTGTAGAACAGAACTCGTGCATGCTGTCTGCTACAACGGGGTCGCCGGAGGAAGGTGTGGTCCTTTGAACCGCCCATCCTCTCTGCCCTCGCGTTTTGCATTCTGTCACATTTTGGGTGCGCAGCTAGCAGAAGAGAGAATGGTTTTTTGGCCTGTCCCTTAGACGGTTTTTTACCCGAGTCACAGATATTTTAGGGGACTATTCTAGTGCGTCATATATATGAAAATCGTAAACATTATGGGTGGGTTAGAACTGCTTTAAAAGGCTCCCAGTCGCTGCTGCCGTATGCCACTACAAATCAGAATACTTAGGACGGCATCTGATGTTGCCTAAAACTGGCGACGGGTAAAGTCCTCACTTTCTATGCGTGTTTTTTCAGGAAATGGACAGTCTGAAAGACCGTGTGTCTTGGACTGCATCATATGAGCACCCATAAACACACAGATTGCTTTTGCTGCTCAAACAAGTAGAATTTCCGGAAACTTAAATCATTTTCATACATAATTATGAAGGCTCACTTTTTGTTGGGCGGTGGAGATCCTTTTTGAATTTTTAAAACTGAACTGGAAATCATACTAATTTGGCGTCTCGTGTACTCGCACTACTGTTTTTTGACAGTAGTTTGGTTTCTGATCTGTGTTTTAATGCTCACCGATAATTAAACACGTAAGATATCAAATTCAAGTTAACAAATGAATGTTTTGATTCATGCTAGAATGTAGTAATCAATTGTATACCATTTTTTCGCAAAGTAATTTGGCTTTCTGTCAAATCAATTAGACTCGCATAATGTCGGTCCCAAAAAGGCAAAAATCGGCATTTGGTTACTGTGAGAAGATTTGATATTATGCCCTCGTATAAAAAATCAACTACATTACTCTGGTTGATGGGGTTAGTAAAGTGTACTCTAACTAAACAGTTCTGTCTCTATTTAGTTTACAATAACTGTGACCAAATTATATCGCTGGCAGTGAGAATAGCTTTGGTGTATTTTGATTTTGGTACCAGAACTCTACTACGCTGACTCTCTCTGTGGAATGATTTGTGCAACTTATTCAAAATCATGGTGGACAGTAGCACTCGTCACGAACGGCTGAATCGTAGCTGCGCAACAAGCCTACTAGCATAACTGCATCTCAGTGATGACTTTAAATGTCCTGTACTTTTTATATACAAAATTGCGACGTTCAGCAATAATAACTGTATGCACGCGCCCTGGACAGAAAAAACCTTGTCTATAATGACAACTTCACCGTTCTCCGTCTAACATGTGCTCTAGGGCTGGGCGAGAGCAGGCATGGTGACTTATGCGTGACCTTTTATGGTGACATTAGACTTGCGCAGCATCTACCGAACTCTCTCCTCCCCCTATACCTGAGCCCTGAGTCAAAATATAGCCCAGAAGGCCGAAGGGGGGAGAGGGGAGTATCAGCTGACAGATCCGCACCCGCAACTAGGCGTACCACCGGACCCCTGGTCCGCAAAAAGCGCTTGACCGAGATCTTAAACAAACAACAATCATGGGGACTGGTGGGAATTCTGATGTTGGCTGCGTGAGCCCGCACCTGGGCCCGTCACAAAACACAGTGACTGGTACATTTAATGACCTCGTCTATGCAAGCTGCATGCGCAGCCTAGTATCTCAATCGTAAGCGATATGATTAACCACACAGGGGTTGGACGATACACAACTCACTCACGTCAGATTGCAAGGTGTCACGTTAAGAAGGGACCGTTGCAGACGGACACTCAGCCAACCATTGCACCACTCCACACCATCATACACACACAACTGGGTAGACTGTGTGGACTGTATTGAGGAGTCAGTCGGCAAGCCTCCAAGCCGCGGTGCTTGGCGCACCGTGATAGTCTCAAGCTCGGATTCACCATGCAGCAGAGGGGCCACATGGAGAACTGGCTGAGAAGTACACTTATCATGTACGTGTGAAGCGGAATGAAGCATTATTAACAAATATACATTTTCCAGCTGATTTAAATGATTGTTTGGGCAACAACATTGAAAAATCATCACATTTAGTTTTATTTAGTTATGGATAATGAAAATATTAAACAACAGGGATTTCATGATGCTGTGGACCACTGGTGGCCCATGTGGTTCAGGGATCCCTGGACTTGTGAATTCAACTACTTTCAGTTGCTTGTGGCGAAAAATTTCCTTCTTACCATCGTTGTCTTAATTTTTGAGATTATATCCCTTAATTTCTGCCGTCCCGTCTAACCGCATGATTTTCTTCAAAACAAACGGGCAAGCTCCCCAATTAACCGTAAGTCGTAATTAATGTTTGTGCCGACAAAAGCCAATGCGTACCATTGGTAGTTTTAAACCATGGTCAGGGGTGATCTTTTATTGAGTGAATTATCATCAGTTTTATGTTGAATTGACCACACATTCGTCTGGATTTTCTCAAATAGCATGCATATGCCGAATAAGTTATGTTACCGTAGGTCTCATCTACATAAAAGAACCCACCAGGAACCTTTGCATGTCATGTGTTTTAGAGTTTGCAGTCCATTGTAATGGCAGAAATTAAGCATTTATGGTAATTACGACTCCTAGATCAAACAGATTGTTAAATATATTTCGAATTGGCCAAAAAGGCTAAAATATGTCGAGTTGTCTTCTTTACACACCGACCTCACAGGTGAAACGTTCCCTTAAACAGGGCACTTATTCGCGAACTGAATTTGTAACTCTCCATTGTAAGTGAGCATCTCGGGATTGTTTCATTTCCGTAACATGGATGGTCTTTTACCAAATTTCAGGAAGAATAGGGTTAAATTTGGACTAGAGTTAGGTTTGAAACACAGGAATTGATACTCTTCTTGGAATTTAAGGGCTTCCTCGTTTTCTGTCTTACCTGGTTGGGGCCAGTAATAGAATTAAATGTAGGATGTTTAGAATAAGGCTTAAGAGGACGATAGTAATGAGTGTTAATGTCAGAGGTAATATTAAGAAATGGAAATTGGTATTCCTAAAATTTAACAAAGGCCATATGTAGTGCTACTGTCCATACTCTTACGTCCAATCTTCCTGCCCTATAATGGGAAGCCGCGTGGTTCTGAAGTTTAGCATTTTGCCTTATAAGGGCTACTAGCTTCTCATTGTGTGTCGTTTCACCCAGTTATCAAATGTGTGGCATTTTTTCGCAAACTTTCGAAACTGATTAGTATTTCCTTCTCCCGAACCAAGTGTCTGATTATCTTTCACATTAAGAAGACGCAACCTAAAAGTTTTAAATTGCTCCAGTACGTCTAGACATGTTAGCCTGGTCCATAAAACGGCTCAGAATGTATTCAGGTATGAGATTACATGCATAATTAAAGGATAGGATTTGAATGGCGAAGTATTGTTAGGTTACCCAACTCTTTCACCTTAGCGACTACTAAAAACAAGGTTTCCCCTTTACTTTTAGTCGGACAGAGATTACTCTACTAGCACATCGAAAGCTAAATGAATATATAAAGAGGGCAAAACAGTAAGACTTTTTGAACGCGGTAAACGGAGGCGCATTGAAGGACGCAAACAAACAAACAAACACAGTAGCCGCCCGACCCATCATAATTCTGGCCGCGCGGTGGACCAGTAGGTCTCGGATAATGAAAGGACACATATGTCGTTTTAGAATTTGGAGTTAACTCAAAGCTATCCCAACGATCGCTCCCTCCCCTCCGGCTACTGTACATAAGATGCGCTTTTATTACTACCGGTATTGCTTCCCCTGCCTCTTGCTTAAACCTGCCTACATGCCCACCGTCTTTTGCATACTTGCGTTTTACGGAACATGGTGCATAAATGTCAGTAGATTACTTGACACTACCGGTTACAGCAAAACGGTCGAACGGTTATGCAGAGACAAGTGCTGCAAACGAGATAAATTTTTAATTCTACGGATGCACATAGAGCACATAAGGTAAGGCCCTCATGGACCAAGATCTCGTGCAAACTGTCAGTTATTGTATATCATTAAAAATACCACTTTTTTCTTTTTTACATTTCCAGTCTTTCTGACTGAAAGTAATAAGCTCCTGATCCTTTCACCCACGGATGGCTTATTTTAGACTTCGAAAAGCAATTTGGATCACCCACCTTTAGAGTTTGGGGGTTCTTGTGCAGAGCTCTCATCATATAACACATCTTGACTAGCACGTAGGTCTCCAATTCCGGCTGTGGAAATGAGCCTGACACCTGTATCATCATGACCTGTTTCGTCCTCCCAATCGCTGACCTCTGGGTCAATTTGCGGCGCCGGCTAGTTTACATAAAACAACTTTTCAGGTGAACGCCCCCTCCTCTTTTGAGACGTTGCCTGAGACTCGCACTTTCACTACCACTAAAGATGAAGATTATTTAAGGCTACATGGAGTTTTTGGCTACGTGTGTTGACAGTTTTTGCCCACAATGGATGTGCTTACTCGTGAAATGCTAACCGAAAAGCCGAAATGCGTTTTTGCCTCAAAAAGATCAAGTAAGTAGGCTGGTTATAGTGGTTGCCGTGTAGCATAATCCCAAGATATTTAAATTGCTTCGGAATGCCGACTTTCGATTAAACTTTTTCCGGCCGTCTGAAAACTACACCCAATGAAAAATAACCGCTTCAGAGATGCTAATTTTTTCATCGGTTTTTGCTGCCCATGTAACTTCAAATACATTTCGTTGAAAACATGCATAATAATGTTCAGTCTTTCTATCGTTTGGTAGTTAATTACGTCTTCTTCAAAGTTTGGGCTTGAAGGCACGGCATAATTTGGTTTTACAAACTTCTCCAAATTCCGAATAATTTTTAACCCGACCCATCGTGATACTTGCATTCGGTGTTTCTTAACTACAAGTTGTATATTCTACTTCTAGGGGAAATCATGCAATTTTACACGCTATTGGAAGGAGAATATGTAGGGTTCATGCAGTTTATCAGTGGATTTTTGCCATAGTGTAAACCTAACAAGCAACACCAGTTAATGCAAGGACACGATATTTATGAACGGGTATTTCATGGTCTTAAGAGATCCCGCAATTAGGAACTTCTTAAAAACAGAACTATACCTTTTCTTTAGGCCAAAAACTTAAAGGAGATGCAATTGTTTACCGAATTACTTGAAAGAATGAATATTTTATGCATGTCTTCTATGACATATCTGAATCTGCATGATCATCGAAAATCAAGGAGAAAAATTTCCACTACATAAACAGTCTTTTTTCATAAGGTGCAGTTTTTAGAGGTGGTCGGCAAAACGTTCATTCGAAAGCCTGATTCCCGACGTAACTGAAAAATGTAGGGATAAGGCTTCAAGATAATCAATCTAGCAACCCTAATTAAGTAAATTTTTTCGAGTCGAAAACGCAATTCGGAATTTTGGTTAACATTTCCTGAGTTAGCACACCAACTGCAATTGGGATGGCTTACTGACTAACTAATTAAAGTAACTGACTAAACGGGATGACCAGAGGGCGAAGTCCGACTAATTTTTGATTATTTAAGTCACCAGTTTTTCAAATGGATACTTTAGTATAAACGTTTAATTGCGTGAAAGGACGGCCGACACTTTCTATGGCAAGAGAAACCTAATACCTTCTCCCACTTCCAAGAGCCTATTAATTGTAACTTTTGGGTCTAGTTTCAAAAGCCCCTCCTTTTACGAATACGTGCAGCAAAATGTCCCTTTAGTAAGCTGTGGATATATTCTTAGGCAACTGTTTGCCCGTAGATCTGAAGGTGCTCTGCAGTGATCGATGATATTGAGAAAGGCTGAAATACCGGCTGCTGTCTAAAACTATGGTGATGTTACGTTTTGGATTACAAAAGAGCTCCTGGCCTGTTTTTCAAAATATGTTCATAGGCTCGTAGCTTCTTAGTCATGGCTCTTGTTTTTTTGAAAGGTTTAAATGTTAATATCCAGACGGACGGCGAAATTATAAGCGACCGAAAAGTACAATTACACTATTTCCCGACATCATTGCTTTTGAGTCTTATCTCACATTTGGTCGGTTTTTTATGCTGTCCTGGTAACGTTTGTACAAAGGGCCCTTAAAAGGGCTATTTCGTAATGAAGGCTTAGGATCTTGAGCGACAATTACACATCAAGTCTTTCCCTCAATTATGAGCCATTTAGCCTGCGAGATCCGGACAAGTTTTCGAATTTTAGTTGCTTAATATACTATGCCTTTGCTGTTACACGTCGTTAGTTACGACTTCTCCTGTGAATTATTTTATGGAATGTACATAAGGGCAGACCAAAGTATGTAGTTAACGTTTTTTACCAGTATAATTAACATTCAGGTTAAAGAGATCACGAGCGGACCTTTCCTACAAAGGTCTTTTAAAACATATCCATGTATGTATTTACGTATAACAATCTCGTTAAATTAGTTTATTTGTTGCAAAACCTCGTTCTTTACCTTGACAAAAACGAATTTTCGCATACTGAACTAGTGATGCGTCCAAAGTTATGACTTTTACGTCGGCGAATTCTCACTTACCTAACTCTACGCTTATCATAAGCTCGGTTCCACCAAATATTTGCTCCTATGCTCTTTAACTTCATGAATAACCGTGTCGTGCAAATGAAGTTCCTATATGCAAAATCATATTTCTGTGAATTTTAGATGAGGAAGAGGATACCAAGGCGTTTTTTCTCGACAGGAAGATTGAAGTTAAGAACAACAAAGATGTCGAGGCCGATTACAATATAGGGGAGTACATTGGCAGGTTCGTAAATTTTTCTCCCAACGCTAACGTGTTCTAGGGACACAGACTTTGTTTGCGAAAATCATATAGGCAAAATGTTTTCCGAGACAGCGGAGGCCGACAAAAATACATGTGTGCTATCTCACAGTAAAAAACGTCGCCTACTGAGGATGCATTCAACTGTAACCCGACTGTCTTGTTTTGAATATAGTGCTGTTCAACGCAGCAGGCCCCAACGACGATCTAAGTCAAGAACATTAAAAATAAACACTTTTTGCACAAAATGAATAAATACTAGTAAACGTAACGGTTAAAAAATTGTACCTGTGCAATCCAGACAAACATCTACCAAACAAGCAACATCTTAGGTACAGAATATCCGTACAACCCTCTTTGTGCTTCGGGTACACAAGGAAATAACGGACGTAATTAGAAGGCACCTTGTAAACTACCGCGAAGAATTCAGCCCGTCAGCCGTTCGACATATTCCATTAGTTGCTTTAAGTCAGTGTTGATGGTCTAAATTAGAGACCAAAGTACGTGCTCTTCTCTAACATTTATCTGACATTTGTCCCTTTATCATTTTTGTACTATGCCTTTTGCAGTCGACTGCATGCATTACCCCCGTGCTTTAATGCATTTGCAAACAGGGATGATATTTCTTTTAACAACAGTTTCGCCCTCTCATCATATAAGTCAGTCTTTTTTCGCAGGCATCTGCCCTGCATATATTTCGCGTCCCTTGCTTTCAACCCATCCTCACCCTGACTGCTGTCCTACATCGGAATATTAGCTAACACCACCTATCGTGACTGCCCAAAAAGACATTGAGGAATTTTGATCCCCTAGTACAACTCAGAACTGGCCGTCCAGGTTCTAACTAAGAGTTTAATCGACTCGTCTGACAATTCTGATTGGTTCGTTTGTTTGCATTACGGTGTGTCAGGTCCATAAAGGTGATATGTTATTTACACGCTATTAGAAGCTGTCTGAACCATATTTTAATGCATTTTCGGGTAAAACGAACTCTCTTCACCAAAGGGTGTAGTTAAAAAGCACTCTGCATCACCCACTGATCACTGGGACGGCTGTAGGCAGGTTGAAAGCATACCTGTAACTACTGAACATAGTTCCGACTATTCGCTCTCCGAAGTTCTTGTAAGGACACCGAAGCTAAAAGTACAGCTAACTCCATACATTCCCGGTTAACATTCGTTCTCACACAAACACGACAGCTTAATAGCTCCAAGGAAGAAAGTTGAGCTAATGCAGACAAAGAAAAAGGTGGAAGAGTCTGGAACGCAGATTTCTTCGATGCTTGTTTTTTAGTGAACTGATGCAGCGCAAAGCTGTATAACGAAGCAGACGATCTACAATACCCGAAAAGTTAACCACCGAAAGATCCTGGGACCAATATGCACTACTGCATATTATTAATATGTTCGAGGTATGCTTCCATTTCCAGCAACCACCACAGATCACCTCCGGTCACTATACGGCAACTGCTGTCGGGTGATTAGAGATGCGACCGGGAAAGTTCCACCACGAAGAAGAACAAGGCACTTTATCTGCCAGACAGATAATAATTTATGTCAAATTAATTACCAGCATGGCGGCCACATCGAAATTAGGCGGGTGTTGTCGGGAATGCAAACTCATAACAGATGCTACCAAAAGGGTGTTGTGAAAGGCCCAGTTGCCGGGCAACCGACGTCGTTTCACCGCATCTTCTTTGCTTCAAAATTCCCTGTCAATGTATGTTGTGAACCAGGGGGGTGGTGGTATGACTACGTTCAGGTCCGTCGGTGGCAGCCATTTGTACTCTCTCATTCTGACTTGACACCGGGCTCAGGTAGAAGAAGAGAGCAGAGTGCGGTAGATGCAGCGAAATTCCATTGTTACGATAAAAAAAATCACGCGCAAGTCACTGTGTCTGCTCTCACCCGGCCGGTGGTACGCACGGTGGACACCAGTGGCCACGTCGGATCGAAGTGCCACCTTAGAGAGACTGGTAGTCGAATACGATCGGTTGACCGTCGCAAGCGACGACGTTAACCATGGACAGCGCGAATTGAACGCAGCATCGTCGACATACGCACGACTTAGTCTAAGGTGTAGCAGGCTTGCGCAGTGCTTATCTCACTATCTCCTTCCCCACTTCCCTTACTCCAATGGCAAGAAGGCTACAAGATGACCAGAGGTAGGGGCGAGCGCAGTGGCTGAGAAGCATAAGCAGCCCGCTTATGTGTGTCCTACACAACCTGATCTGAGCTACCTGTACCGGGTTCCTGAAGAGGCGATTCGAACCGCAACGCAGCGAGACTAGAGTTCCGATCTCCTTAAGAAGGCCCCTTTGCAGCTTCATTGCAGTCCTGAAGTGTACCAAGTTGTTTTGTCAGTTTGAAAACCTTCAGAGCCACAACTCTTAACAAGTCGTAGCACGTTAATTTATTTTAGTCATGAATATCCTCCCTTGTTTTGGGTACGGACGACCAGTGACGGCCTCACTCTCTCATACATCAATCAACTGTTTGAGCCTCCCAACTAACGACTGATAAAATTGAGCGCATTGGCTGACACAGCGTGAAGACCCATATCTAATTTGCTCCACAGCACGCAGTGTACAGCAGTGGTTATGGATTCGTGCGAACTCAGCGCAGCTCAATAAATGCGTGCCGCAAGTCCTCTATTCACTGCATCCATAGAGCAGCCAGTTACGGGGGCTAGGAGTGTATGAACAGTCATGAACAAGCACTGCAAGACCGTCCGAATAACTGGCGCCTGACTTGCTACATAAACCAGAACATCTATAAATTGCTGCAGAACCCCCCTGCCCTGCCGTCTATTCGAGCCTTTTCTTACCCACATCAGGGCAGGTAAACCGCAGGCAATGGCTCACTGGTCAACTTTATTGCCAGCGGAGACAATAGCTGCCATTTTTTAAATGGGCAACTGTTCATCCCCTCCTCCCGTTGCTAGATGATCGGTCTTGGCCCGTGGAGTGGCAGTCGTAGTAGTGTTGCCTGCTCATCCACGGCTGCCGAACGACCAGCAATCCTCCCGAGCTGCTAGGAACATCGTAAAACCCCGTGGAGCGCATCGTCGTTTCATCTCCGGATTATGGAAATCTAGGGTTCTTGCGTCCACGTATTACCCACCCCCCCCCCTTATTTCTGAGAAAGTGCTCGTGTTCCTGTCATAAATAATGCTCGTATTGGGGAAAAGACCAGGAGAAAGCGTGCTGTGAAGAAAAGATTTTGGATGGGATTATTATCAAAAATAATGGGATTGACCAACTTAGACCGACCCACCATCCTGTAGCCCAGACATACTTGCTACCAGGTGTTCCCTTGTTTAACCTCCAAACTCCTCCAGTTGGCCCATTACCTGAGAATGATTTTATGACCGTCAGTTGAAATAAAAGCTCACTATATGCGGAGCACTTCAGAGCTTGGTTAAGGGAAATTAGCCCCACCCAAGCGCTTAAGGATATTGTTGATGTTGACTCCCTATCTCCTAATGGTTTAGGGAGGGACCCAGAAAATACAGACATTAAAGCTAGGATGAAAAAAGGTTTGTTATTTGGGTTCTGCTAAACCCTTTTTGGAGTCTGCAAACCCTGTTATTTTAAAGGAAATCATCACAGCAGCTAACAGGTGAATGTCAGCCAGCAAATATATTTCTCCGCGCACATATAAATGAAGGCAAATGAGACTTGGTTCTCCTCTGTCGCAGTCCTCTATCCAAAAGTCACTGACTTTGTCATCTAGATAGCATGTCTCAGAGCATTCAGGAAAATCAAAATTAATGGACTACACAGTCAATCGAATGACATTCATCACTGTATCTAGTATTCCAACTGTCATGCAGGACGAAAGGGAGTCAGCAAATTACAGGTTAGGGGAGCGAAACTATGGAGCCAACCATTATTTGCGTAGACTGAGAGCGAGGTCGGCAGCGCTAGCCCCTTCTGCAGGCAAAAAGTTGCTGACAGGGTCGTTGGGCCCATTGTTGCCTGAGTTCTATTGGTTGGCATGATCGTAGAAGCCATCATTGATCAAAAAATCAGAAAGCTCGTATCCACTGAGCAAGCTGGGACATCTTTGGTAGCGAGAAGACGATTGGTTCGCGAGACCAACTGCCATGGCGGGCAGCAGATGCACCGGAAGGCGCTGACTCTCGTTAGCAGCCCAAGTCGGCGCACTAAAGCGAGGTCACGTCCAAACCCGGTTATGCACCCCCAGCGGATTGGGGGACCTTCCAAGAGAAGAGCAACATGATCTGTAAATCATGCGGGAAACCAAAGAAACAGATGCCGAAATGTACACTTTGATTAAAGCCACATGATAGCTGGAGTACAGGGGTTCTATTTGCACAATTTGCTAACTCAAATTGTATGAATGATAGAAGTACTTAGTAAAAACGGGAAGGACTACGTATGCGCGAGGAGGCAAAATCCCGTCTCAACATTTATTCCGAATGTTTTCTACTATGGGACCCTTCTTTCCGCCGTTTATCCTCACCCATAAAATCCGCGCTATACTGTAACTTGGTTTTAGTGCCCTGAATGGGGTCACATACTGCGTCATTGTCGTAAAAACTGTATAATATTTTATTTTTGTTACTTTCCTTCTAATGTGTGTATCTTCAGCCTACCGCACTTCAGCATGATACATTTTCCAGGCTAATTCTCCGAAAATATTTCATACTTAAGGTGTCATCATAACTTAAATTGTCCGTTATTGTAACTTGAAATTTATTCAAGGAAATAGTTCATGCTAAGTAGACAATTACTTTGACATGGTCACACGAAAGGGATCTCTAGTAGGTATGGGCCAGTTTAACGGCTGGCCGGGGAACCGCTCCTCCTCTTTCTAACATTCAGTAATTAATGGCGGAGTACTCCATCCCATCGAAAGGTGATGCTGGTTAAACTATGTGGCCCTTGAGGTCTAGAAATTAAAACATTACGTGGTACCGCCAAATAACTTTCCCCATTACTTTAACCCATCCCAGTCTCTCAGATCATGGCTTGTTAATAGCCAATTCCAGTTCTTTGAATTCTTCAACGGTTTTCTAGGTAGAATTTTGCGCTTAACATTTTTATAATGCAACGGGATATCTTTTTCAATTCGCTACTAATTTGAACTAGCATAACATACATTTTTTCGAAGTAGGTCACAATGGAGCCTATAGGTGGGGTAATGAATAAGAGGATGGAAAATACGGAATTGGGGAAGTTATATATAAATATATATATGGGGTCCAACCTTAAAATGTCATGTGCCGGAGACTTTACTCCTGTCCAGCACCGAATAATTTCTGAAATTATTCGCTGAGATTCGTCTCTAAATTTCATATACCAAAAACGCGCGGGAGAACGATGGGGGGCCCACTGAAGAGCCGAACCCCACGCAGCTGTGTCACGCAGCGACAGAGTTTCGGCGAAACACGTGTCTGGGCTTTCAGTTAATATCTATGTCGGGAGTACGGTATAATATGTGTGCCATATATATATATATGTGTCAATCTTCATACCTTAAAAAGGTTAAGACTTGTAGGTTAACGTGGTTTATACTAAATGTCTTCACTTTTTATATCCTGTTGTTAAATTTTACAACTGCTGTGGGATTGCGTTAGCATTTCAACTATTTGATTAGACGAATCCATGTTAGTACGAACGGCACAAACTTGCCCGCTCCGGCAAATAAACCATTCCAACGAGCGCTACACTCCGTCAGAAACAAAATTTTGAAGCGAAAACCAGATTCCATACAGAAAGAACGTCCGTAATTTGAATTCCGTGTCTGCAATCCATCCCAGGGAGCAAAACAAACGTACAAACTTTCCTGGTCAAATTAATTACCCTAGCTGCCAATGCACAACAGAATGCAAGAAAACGACCGCCACAGGCAAAAGAGCAAGCTAAAGGATTCGGGCGTCTGGTAAATGATTTGTCGGAAAAATCCGTGAACGGAAGCTTACATAGGATGCACCTGTACTGCGGGTTCACTTTTTTCAAAAAACATCCTCACTCAATTCTGTTTCTGCGACAGCCTCAACCAAGGCGGAAACTCTGCACTTCCTTCAATACACATGTAATGCCGCAACGGTAGGGCGAAGGACCCCACGTAACTGTCCGCAGACGTGGTTCACGTCATACGGAAATGGTGAGAATAGCGCCTTTACAGGTGGGGCAAAATACCAAGCAGAAAGCTTACGAAAGGCAAGAAAACACACAACGCCACTGATTTGATCTGTAATCGGCCCAGGTGTTGAGACATTAGTACTGCTGTCTGACCATTCCAAGGTGAAATACGCAGTTCCGTATGTTTTTTAGTTGGAACTAACAGATAGCTGGTAAACAGTCGGGGAATGTTGATATACCTCAGCGTCGGCACATAAAAGGAATCATTTTTTACTAGACAGCAATACAACTGTGCAATCGTAATTTTGACAATACTTTTCCTCCGCAAAGCCCACAAACACGGTAGCTTGTAAATACCCCTCAATGCTTTTTGATCAATATTCAAGGTACCATTGGGTTGTAGCTGTGTCTAAATCAAGCTAACACCCATTTTTTGCTTGACACAAATGTTTACTTTAACGTAAACTTTATCAAACAAACCCAAGCAAACCTCCCACGGATGTTAAGATGCTTTACTATATATCCCATGTATCCTAATGGTGGATATCGAGAAACTGAATATATATGTGCACTATTGCCTTTTAGTGGAAAATTTGGGGATGTTAGTAGGTGCGTCGAGAAGGTCACTGGCTACGAACTGGCGGCAAAAGTCATTCCAATTCATTCCCCCGAGGATACGGAGAGTGTGATGAACGAGGTCACCATCATGAACAAGCTGCGGCATGCACGGCTCATCCAACTTTACGATGTCTATACGAAACCGGACAAGATAACCCTCATTATGGAATTGTAAGTCTTCCGAACTCTGCCAACGTATTCGAATTTTAAGGAAATTGTGATTACATTTCGCTAGTGAAGATATATTCCCGAGTTTCTATTGGTTTCCTGCCAGTTCTCAGGCCAAGTAAATTGTCTTAGTGTATTTACAAGTCAAAGTATCGAAAGTAGAAGCAAGTGTTCTGAGATCGGCGAGGTATGGAATCTCAGGAATGACCATGTACGGTTCGAACCTCTGAAAATTTGTGCCATATTTTACAAAAGCGCACATTCTTTCAAACCAGGATTGTTATTTGTGATGCATTTTAAGACTGAGCAATATAGAATGTAAAGTTACCCGCATCGCATGCCAAGGCATTTTAAGTTGTCAGGGGTGATCTTCCGGTCACCATAGATCACCTCTTGCGTGGATGTGGGACTAAAGTGGCATGTACCTTTTCGTAGTTTTTTCTTCTTCATACAATATCAATTGGACTTCATGAAAGAGCCAGGCGCGTACATCGGACCCTTTTGTCAATCAGCAGTAAACAATATTGACTTTAATTTTTTATAAGTTAACAATCCGTATGTGTTTCAAGAATCTGGTCCACATTAACGGTCAATGTTTAATGGTGGTTACCTGTAAGAAATTTTATACTGCATGCTCAGAGACGCATGAGCCAAGGATCACATTTTCAATGCATATTCGAATTTAGCAGACTACTTGAAGGAAGTTCGCTAACTGTTCGGTAAATAAGGAATCCCCCGTTAATCTGCACAGGACAGTCTGCTGATCTTGGGTAAAACTCTTACCCCGCCACTTTTATGAGCCCTAAGTCTGAAACGTACTATGCAGGTGGTGTGTTCCATCTAGGTGATTTTTGTCTGCGCATCATTTTATCGTCTTTCTCCGTAGACAACTGTAGATAGTTTTTTGGGGACTGTCCTTATACTGCTCTTTCAATGATACATCCGCTGATGCATTAACGTCGATTAAAAAGTGCCGACCTTAATCCACAACGGTTTCAACATCTGAACTCGTTGAAGCCTAATCGCAGTGGCCTTATCATCCGGCAGGATAACGGGCTCAAGGAAAGAGCGTTCGAGACATACACTCTCACTGATTGAAGATCTGAGCCCGAATCCGATACTACTCAAATCTCGGATTGGATATGGCTGAGTGCGGGCGGTTTATATGCTGGATATGACCAAACGCTGTCGTCCTTGTTTTTATCGACACTCCCCCATCTTCATAAGAACTTCTCCACTGCGCTAGCCTGCTAGGTCCCAAGAGTAGCTCCAAGGTTCAACGAGTCAGACGTGTAGCGTAACCTGATCAGTGAGCAACCCTTACTGGACAAGAATTATCCAATATATCTCAAACAAAACTATGCACTTTATTAGAATGGAACATATTATTTTCTATAAGTCAATAATAGGAAAAGCATTTCGCTTGCATTATTTATAAGCCATATTATTAAAGAAGGTATTGACATTTTAAATTTTCGAAAGATATGCAAACACATTGGGCATTTATTTGCCTCTGGCTGTTATTTATACTGATGCCTAAAAATGTCTAGCTAAGAACTTGCATACTGCGACGGTCAAGTTTCGCATTAATCATTGTCGAGACATCATTTAAGAAATATTTTCTAAATCAAGTCATGATCTGCAATTAGTCCCTTCGTTCGGGAATTTTCAATATCATAGAACATTCCGAAAAACAGGAAATAACTCCGGTGTTTCCTCTGAATGATCACCATAACTGCGCTTTTTGAAAACAGGTATATTCGGAGAGACTCGTACAGCCAACAAACCCCAATTATCTTTACAAAAAACGCCTTGCAATGACAAAGTTTAGCAGTACTGATTCAAATCGAGCGACTGGACAACAGGGCCTCAGTGTTATATTAAACTGAAATAGTCATCGAAAACAATCATAAATCACAACGCATTAGTAATGTTTTTTCTCCCTTGTGATATTTACGGGTAGCTCTGGAGATATGCACTGAATCACTGCCATACCGACGCGTGTAAATGAGTACTTAACCTGAGTTTATGCTTTACGGTTATTAATATCGAACTCAAACAAACGTTTTCTGCTTCGAATTTTACCGGACGTTTCGTTGGCTCCAGCAAGCTCGTGTTCCGATTGACCCGGCGCTAATGCTCATCGTCGAACTGCCCATAATGCCGATCGTGAACGACCCAGCTGTGACCCAAGCAAGTCCGTGGTGTGAAGGGTTAAGGGTCGGGGTTGGAGTGTCGATTTCGCAGTCGCAATGTCCTGAGGGCTAACGTGGTCTGCTGGCTTGAACGGCTGTCAGTTCATGGGCGGTGAATGAGCGTGGTTATTCCATGTAACTCTCTTCCTGTAGCTCAGTACGTAGTCATCATCTCCCTGTGTAGTTTTTCGCACCTCTTTTAGTCACAGTCTCCATTCCTTTTTCTCTTCCCTCCGTAATCCTGTCCATTTATCAAATCTTAATTGTATGGAAGGTGGCCACGTGGACTCAGGGTCGGGGGGGGGGGCCGAGAGCGGCCTATGTCGTGACGACATGACCCACTGCGTGAATATATGATCTCAAACTTCAGGGAATTTTTCTGTATTCCCATGTGTCCAGCTCACGACTGTGGAAGGACAGAGCAGCCGGCTGTCAGCCTATGAACGAGAAGGGGGTTTGCAGCATGGTACACCCTCCGGCCGAATTCTAGGAGCCCAGAGCAGGTGCAAGCACGGAGTCGTGTAATCCAAGTAAAAGATTTAGTCGCGGCAGCTTGAGCTATATGGAGATCTAGCCACTACGACGTTGAACCCCAGTTCAGAACAGGAAGAGAACAAGTAGGACGCCAGTTGAAAGGATGTTGTATTCTGTACAGAACTATAAGAGAAAAGGTTGGCAGAAGTTGGCAGATAGACGAGGGCACGTCCGGCGCCACGGTAGCGTCGTCCACGAGTATGCGACAGTGGGGCAGACGTCTAGCGTTTTCAGCGAGGTCCTGTCTGAGTCAGCATCCAAAGCGATCGCCCAGTTTGGACAGCTGGCAGAGTAATAAAAGAGACAAGCATACTAATTTGGATTTTTTGGTCAGGTCGCAGGCATATCTCCTCAAATCACACCTCATTGCCGCTTCAGCGGTATGCTCCCACACTCAGGGACAGGTGCAAATTCTGCCACGACGGTCCGACCAGTCAACCGGCTTGTCATTCCGCGCGGACACTTTGCAGTTCGGTAAAACCCCAGGGCCGAATCAAGCGAGAACTAAACTATGTAGAAAATACAAAAGGAGACAAGCGCGATAAACAGGCACTTAGCTTTTGAATAACACATATGCGAAAGAAAAGCAGACGTCTGCATGCGGAGCCGAAAAGTGTTGCTACCACTCCCGCCACCCACCTGCATCCTCTTGCACTACTGTACCAGCAGGCCCGCCAGGTTAACGCTTGTCACCAGCAGACTTATACTTCCACGCCCCCAGGGGAAACTGTCCGGCGCGTGTGAAATATTGTCATGACCAAAACTGTCATCACCTACCGCAGACCGCATTGCTGCAACCGATCGGATAGTGGGTGCTTGCATCAGGCAGATAAACAAACAGTAGATGGGCTGAATCCTGAAATGTCAGCCGAAATTCCGAAATGCGTTTTCGTCTCGAAAAGACTACCTTAGTAGGGCTGTAAAACTAGTCCTCCTGCGACATAATTCTATCATATTTCAGCTAACTCAGGATGCTGATTTTTGGAGGAACTTCCTTCCGGCTGCATGCATAAACTGCACTCTGTAAAAAATCACTACTCACGTAGCATGCATTTTTCTCATTGAGGTTTGATGGCCCTAAAATTCCAGTAATATTGCATGGAAAGCATGCATACAAATATTCATTCTTTTGCTCATCCGGTAGACACTTACGTCTTCTTTTAGTTTTATACTCGAAGGAGGGATATAATTCGGTTCTAAAAAACTTTCTAATTGTGGGACTGTGATAAACCGTGAAATAGCCGTGCATAATCGTCATGTCTCGGCAGTTAACAATATGACTTGTAAGGTTAACAATATAAATCAAATCCACCGCTAAATTTCATGAACCCTATATGGTCCCCCTTTATTGCTGTAGCGAAATGCGTGGTTTTCCATACGCGGAAAATATACGGCTTGTAGTTTGGAAACCCTAAATCCAGGTGTAACGGTAGAGAGCGTTCGAAATTATTCTGGAATTGGAAAAGTTTTTGAAAAGCGAATTATACCTTTCCTTCGAGTATAAGATTGGAAAAAGACGTAATTGTCTACCGTATGAGCAAAAAAATGAATATCTGTACGCATGTTATCCGTGAAATATTACTGGACTTTTAGGGCCATCGAACATCAATGAGAAAAATGCATGCTACGTAAGTAGTGGTTTTTTATGGAGTGCAGTTTATGCATGCAGCCGGAAGGAAGTTCCTTCAAAAGCCAGCATCCTGAGGTAGTTGAAATATGATAAAATTATGTCTCAGGCGGACTAGTTTTACAGCCCTACTAAGTAGTCTTTTCGAGACGAAAACGCATTTCGGAATTTCGGCTGACATTTCAGGATTTAGCCCACCTACTATACGACTCCTAAAGTTTGTCTCTGAGGCAAAAATAGTAATCTGAATTTGCTGCTTCAACTCGAACTAAATTTATTAATTGAGAGAATCAGAAGGCACTTGCCGCTAGAGGAAGGAGCACCGTCAATTCTACGTTCTGTTTAAGAGTTTGCTTTAGAGGCGCAAAGCGCGCGCATTTCAATTCCTGGACTATCCTGCCTCCAGACCTGAAGTTAGTACTAATCCCTGTTGCCTCGGGTCACGGTGGAGTAAATTCAGACTTCTGACGGGACTTTATTTTCCCCACGACGGAGGGTTTGCCGGTCAGTTTTACAGAGTCACACCTCAGGTAGAATCGCAGTCGATTAAACTGAATCGACTCCTCTGGACGGCAGCCTGGGAGCGTCGCAACAGCTTGAATGTAATGCATAAATGTGTATCAGCACAATCCGAATCAGGCGGTGGTTCAACCTGCGTGTTGACTAAGCATTAACGGGGTACCTTCGTCGATATAGGATTTTCGACATTTCACTACTTAAATGAAGAACTGCAATGACGCAAAATGCCGTAATAACAAAAAAACTTTTCCTTTATTCTTTCTCTTAGGATCACAGGCGGCGAACTGTTTGAACGCATAATCGATGAACACTTTGACCTGAACGAGGACAAGTGTGTCAGATTCATGACGGAAATACTTCAAGGGGTGGACTACATGCATTCTCAAAACGTCCTCCATCTTGACCTCAAGGTAAGGCTTCGCTGCATGACCGTCGCTAACATATGAGGACATTCTGACTCTGGTTGGACTTTTACTCCACACATCCTTGAGCAGTAGCACCTTTTGACAATGGATCAACAATCGGAGGGCTGTAACATACAGGAAATAAAAGTTTGTAGCTGGTGGACATAGTTATAGATTACCTTCGGTGACCAAGGCTGGTCAATGCGGGATTCGAGCCCGCATTTACCTGATCCTTGAGCTTTGCTTCACATCACTGGGCAGGCACGTTTAGTCTATGGAAACCACCAGACGAAGTGCAACTGGAATTGATGGAATTGGGACTTGTCGAGTGAGTTCGTTTGGAGGAGAGAACACCAACCCTCTGTTCTGCCTCGTTGTCAAAAAATTAAAGCCTTTGAAGGCGGTTCTATGAAACTGGACACTCAGTAAACGGGTGTTTTGTTTAAAGTGGCACAAAACACCCGATTGACTACTTCCGGTTGATTTTTAGAGGGCTCGCGGTCAATAAGCACCAGCTCAGTCAGTACAGGTTTGACATTGGAACTCCTACCGATAATTCGTTCGTCCGGTTACTGGAAATTCTTTCCTACATTTGAGCATAGGATACGAAAATTGCATTCGCCTGGCGTTTCGAATCTATACTCGACTCCATCATTAAAGATCTTAGCATTTAAGAGTATCGTCTTCACAAGTGCTGCAGTATTTATAGGATTAACTTGCGCGCATCCATCAGACACAATTGTCAAACGCCTGGCAATGAGTCCGAAAGACACAATACTGAAGTAGGAAACGGCCGATATCGTTCATCGCATCTTGGGAAGTTATGGATAAATTTCAGACGTCAAAGAAACCGGAAACCTAGTTTAGACACGGATGACAGAGCACGCAGCATCGGTGGGGAAGAACAACGCTGGCTCCTTATTCTCAGTTTATTTGAAGTGACCTGCCCGCACAGTTAAGTTTGCTGGGCCCGACATTCTTGTGAGCGGTGATAGCTGCACTAGCAGGGAGCTGCTTTTGTCGTGGTTTTCAGCCCTCAGTCTGCCAAAAGGCACGAGATTTTGCCTGGACAAAGTAATTAGAAACACGAAAAACAAACGAGTGGGCACTGTTCATAATGCCAATGTAGATGAGCCAGGTTGCCTAATAACCCAAACAGATGACGAGTTTTGGTAGTCAGCGCTCCGGCTGTGGGAAATCAAGCCATTATCTCATTACGCGAGTGCCTCTCCAATGAATACGAAGACTGTTGGTTTTGATAGATATGCAGTGGCATAATTACTCCATACTTACAAACATTGTAGTGCTAGCGCAAAACTTTACGCTTGCTTGGTTTTGTCATCGATGATGGTTTCGAGTGTGAATCTGAAATGTCAGGCCGATAAATGTCTCGTCCCAGTGAACACGTCTCCATCATCCCGGCTGCTGCTTGAAATTAGCATCTCCGATTCCACCAGCAGTTGGTATCTCCGTTTTGAATTGGAGCTCAAGGTCTTCAGTCTACTTATACCCCTCAGTCAGGATATACCGGTGCACGCTAATTCCATATGACTACGTATTTCCAATTACACGTAAGATGGTTGTTCGATGATCAGCCGAGTTGGGGTCCAACCTCGGGTGTACAGCCTGGAGTATGAGTGCCGCTCCCTCATAACGACATTTAGGTCAGAAATAGTCGGTCCAGCGCTGCAATCTTTGTCCGTAAGACTTTTTGAACAAACGAAGGCCTTCGGCGATAGCCGTCTCACCACACCGACAACGGAAGTGCGTGGGCTTCCAAAGCGGTGTGCGAATGAAGTTTGTTTCGGGAACTCGCTAGCTCTTCCCCTTCACCTCCACAGAGACATAGTGAAATTGATAAACATATACTTACATAGCATTTCATAGCATAAAAGAAAGATATGGTGCTATTTGAATGGACACTTTAGTGCTTAGAATACCTCATAATTCAAAGCATTTTAAACCTAATGATGCCCTTTCAGCGAGCAAACCCGTTAAGAAAAAGGCCTGATTTGCTATGAAATCGGTATAAGAATGAATATTTTCCCATATGACTTCTAGTAAACATATTTGCATATATAGAGGCCTCGCAAAACAGTGAGAAATATCTTGGGAGTATGCTGCAGGATAGTCAGTATTATAACTCTGCTTATATAATCCATCTTACTCGAAAAATCATTTTAAAATTTTAATCAACATTTCGTGAGCTGAAAAAAGAACACTTTTTGGATATAAAATATTTTTAGAGTAAGATCTCAATATTACTAAACCCAAAATTAACAGATGCGCAAAACTATAGGTTACGAAGGATTCTTCCAATAAACCGACGAATACAACTCACACCCACATATCACGAACTGCTTGCACACCACTCTATAAACGAATTGCGTTTATTCACAGCCTAGTAGGCCGTAGATGCTGATCGGTTTCAGTCGGAATTTTTGCCTGTGGTGTCACAACTCTTGGGTGGACTTTAAAGGCCCTGTGAAATGAAATAGCATCCAGAAGATCAAACTATTTTCTAACTCCAAGCCTCGGAAATATGCCTTCAAGTAATGTTTTAATAGAAGTCCACCAAACCGACATGATTTAATTTTTTTGCAGCCGGAAAACATCCTTTGCCTCACTAGGACGGGCTTTCGGATAAAAATTATCGACTTTGGTTTGGCGAGAGAACTGAAAAACCAGGAGCTGCGCGTGCTCTTCGGCACGCCGGAATTTGTCGCCCCCGAGGTCATCTCCTATGACCCTGTTTCCTATGCCTCGGATATGTGGTCTGTCGGAGTCATATGCTATGTCCTGTAAGTCACATACTTCAGTTCCAACTCGAAATGACATATCTTCCAATCACGCTGAATTTCATATGCCGTATTTAAAAAACCCATGTCGCAAAATGTAATTCATCTTTTTTTCTTATCGTCTGCAACATCTGAGGGACTTTTTGTTTAGTGTTTAAAAAACCAGAAAGCGAACGAAAATAAGACATTCTAGAAGGCACTTCCCAAATCCGGGAGTGTGGGGCGTCGCAGACGCTTATGCGCCGAAATCGGACTGAAGTTTCACACGGTTTCAACATGTGCCATTTCTTGAGCAACTTTCCATTTGCAAGTTATGTGGCGTCTGAGCTACGCCAATCCGAAGAGTAATGGGCAATTACTCTCATATTTTAATTTCCCGACATTTAGTGCAGTTAGCATAATTAAATACTGGTACTCAGGATCGGCCCGAAATTTTACGTGACCCCACTGTTTCATCTGGAAGGTCGAAATGACCTGAGGTTAGCATGTGCGCAGCGGCCTGCGAATTGGAGCTGTACGCCTACGCGTGCTACACGCGATTCAACCCCAAGTTCCATTTCGTTCTTGGCTTGTAATGGGTATAACAAAGATGGGTGTCACAGGAGCCACATCAGCAACCAGCGCAGTCTGTCCCATGAGTCTAATCAAGCCCGAGTTACCTCGTAAATTGGAAACCCCCATGTTATGATAGTTTTAAGTCTAACATAGTCCTTAGGTGTTATGGCAGATTTCAAATAACTCACTTTGACCCAACCGTGAAACATTCGGTGCCTAGGCGGTATTCGAACCCATGACAGCAAGGCGAGGCTTTAGCACAGCCAACGCTCTAACCATCTGACCCACGAGGCCCTACCGGACAAAGCGAGTTTAATCACATTTGGATCAAGTTTACATGCCCAATTTACTGCACCACCAAATTTGATACAATAAGCTTTCACAACTCTATAAGTTAAGAATGTAGCGAACTGTCACAAAACAGAAGAAAATTCTGCATCAACGTAATGTCTATCCTCTCTTTCGTTGTCGGTGACCTGCACGGGTCACGCTGGTGGGTGATGAAAGTCGGTAACTGATTGGTGTTGCGCGAGCACGTGGTGCACATATGCAGGGACGTGCAGACTGAACAAAGTCCTTCTACGGCATACTGCGAAACACGTTGGCCCTGGTAAGACTTGCTATAACAGCGAGGTGACGCGATGTCTGGCAAGCACGGACACACACCCAGACCTAGCCCGTGCCTAGCAGTCAATGTCTGCGTACTCCGTTTGGAAATCCTGGACCAACAATATATTTTAGTGATCCTTTCATATATTCCGCTGTCGCTACTAGCGAATACTATTTTTACTGCCATTAAGTGGTATTTTAAGAAAACCAAGTCCTCGGCGTCCGTTTGTCAGAAGTGTTGAAAACCAGTCAAAATTATGTAAATATGGATGATTGTTTAACTTTTCGGATTCTCATCGGGATTCATCATTATAAACAGTGCTAGATTAGAGTTGCGAAGATTTCCATGGCAGTATTCAGAAGATCAGTTGGCGAGCATACGTTTGTTTTCGACAAATTTCCGACAGGCCAGTACATTTGTCTGGGGAAGGGGTAGAAGTAAAAAGATGTCAATGATAGAAGGAGTCAAATTAGGTTCGTATTAAAACACAGGAGCGATTTGGCAATTTGCGGAGTAGGGACTAATAAGAGTTTATGGCAGGAACAAGTTGAGAGCGGAAAGCTGCGCGGGGTTTCAGGGCTAGTCTACCTTTGATCACGGTAGGTGCGGAGCCTGAACGTGGTTCTTCTGTTTGCACATGACCTGTTTTCGTGAGCTGGTTGTGGCCGCTTCTGCTGTTGCTAACAGACTCTTAGGATAGCTCGATGGGAGCTTATAAATCACATGAAAATCTTTTCTGGGGTCCACACGATGTCCGGGTGAAAACACAAGCGGTGCTTTATTTATAAGAATATTATCGACGGCTTTGCGGAACTTAAGTTATTGAAGACTTGAGTACTTTGGCTTCAATTTAGAAAAGTTAACCATGTTGATTGAAAAGACGAGTGGTAGATTAAAAAAGTAGGTTAGGGGCGTATACTGCTGTGTTCCGCCTCTAGTTAGAATCTGCCATGCCAGAACCAGAAAAACCATGGCTCTGGAACATGGTTTTCGGCCGAAAGATGTGCTTGTGCTTTCTCTGGATATGCGGGTCATGGTTACGGCTGCCCAGTCATCCTTGTCGTTTTTCTGACTCGTTGTTGAGTGTAAAGAAGAGCGCCAATGCGCGGGTCCGGCCGTGCCAGTTATCTGCGTCCTTCCCACGCCGCCGGACTTCTTGACTATGTTTTTACACCAGGTTCATGCAGGGAGGACGGCGTGAGCGCGGCAGATGCTGCGCAGGTCTAATCTCACCATTTAATTATTCACTCGCAAGTTACCGTGTCGGCTCCGCATGCTCTGGACCACACGGTAGACATCGTCGGACATTAAGGTTGAAATCTCGTGTACTGCGTCTAATACACTGCAACTCAGAAGTGTCCCCAAGCAACTCTAAAGCTCTTACTAAGCTTGCGCCATCTTGCATATTTTCTTCGTATGCGAGGCTTGAGTAGTAACTTCAAAATAGACTTTTTAATTTCTTCTGAACTTGGCATAATAACTTGGGGTAAAGTCCTCGACACAGGTCTTCTCAAGTTCAGTCCAACAGCTGATATGAATGTTTGAGTCAAAATCCACCGCATGCGCGTTCTGCCGACATTAAGTTCATGAAATGCAAACATTTATTGACTGTCCATATGCCAGAATGTGAATAGTGCACCGACATTCCAAAGAAGCCGGCGGAATTCAACATAAACCTGCAGGTCAACTATCAGATCAGATTTACTCCAAATTGGCTTATTAATTTCTGATGAATTAAGAAAATATTAACATGAAAATCGGAGTACATACCATACATTAAGCTCATAAGGAACGCTGGTAGACACAATTACGAGGGTGATCCCCATAACTGCGACTTGTACAAAGTTAATGCACGCGTTTCTGGGCTTTTAGTTAGTAGCTGAGCCGGAAGTACGGCAAGTCAGTCTGTGATTACAAATCATATGTGGACCAAATTCAAATGAACCCAGCTAGCAAAAGTAAAAGAGGGAATGTCCTTCTCTGTACGTACAAATGTCGACAGTCGCTCAAAATAAGAGCGATATCCCAGAATGGCACACATGTCCAATGAGATGATCAATCGTAATCCATTTTGGCCTTGAAGTGGAAGGATCAACCATCTTCAACTCTATATGACAGAAATTAAACCAATGCAAAGAAGTGAAAAATACTTTATATATGCCGTTTATATATGACGTTCAATATCTATCACTCCTTGCGTCTACGAATATCTTGCATCATTTCAACAGGCGTCGTTGGTCATGACAGAATATCCATCGCATTCAATGATGTTTACATACTAACCAGGGCATTCGCAAAGCCTACTGCACAAAAAATTATGTGTAGAGGCACTGTAAGCCTTCAATATCTCCAGGGTTGTTTTTCAATTTTGACTACTTCTGTGGCTCCAGCGAAAATTTCCCACTTCGCGGCCTTTGGAGGCAATAAAAAGCACTGGCAGTTATCTTTTAATGCAAAATATTTTTTCACGTCTGCCGGACATTTGTATTTTCATTACTCGTAAGCAATTTTCGAAGCCCTAATGCAAAACCGTAATGTTCAATAGCAGATAGTCAAACGTGACTGTCCAGTAATTCGCAGTTTTCGGGGCTGCATCGACTGTATATTGGGGATTTTTGTTAAAGTTGGTCACTTCACAGTGAGCTCTTGCTTTCTTTCTGTACACAGATTGTCCGGACTGTCACCTTTTATGGGCGACAACGAAAGTGAGACCCTTTCTAACATCGTCCGATGCGTGTACAGCTTCGACTACACCGAATTCAATGACATCTCTCAGGATGCCAAAGATTTCATCCGAAAACTGCTCGTCAAGGATATGAAGTATGTCTCTAAATTTTTTTCTCCACAATTTTTTTCTTTAGAAAGCCCAGCTTTCATTTGGATAAAAAAACTTTGACAGTTACCAAGCAAAACTAACAGAGAGCCAATAGTAAAAGCTTGAGGCTTTTGAAGTAGTCCACAAATTGGAGATCAGGAGCTGCCAAGTAGTAGTACTACAAGCAGCCTGCGACACAGGGGTTTTTCCGTAAAATTTGAAATTTTTATTAGTAAGAAAAATTGAAATACCTAGAGGTATCTGGCTATTACTAGTTTTGTTTCTGTTTCCATGTGGAGGCGAGTGTTTGAAAGGATAAAAAAGAGGGAGTTTGAGCAAACACCGGCGCCATTAATTTATTTTTCGGGGGACATTAACAACAGAAATGATAAAGGGACGCCCACCGATCGCCAAGAGCCGCATATAGGCACATAATATAGGCGCAATACAATCACCGACAAAGACACTAAAGGCGGAAATGGTCGTTTCTGTCTCACAAGCCGTCGTCAGCAAGTCCTACCCAACCCCAAGATGTGGAACACCTGGGGCTCGATCCCGCGGCTTGTCATTTAGAAATTCAACGTCCCTAACTACTGAGCCACGGTCTCGTTGTCCTTGTGGTTCCGATCGGGACTATACAGTTGTCGAGGGACGCTGACCGGTCACGTTGTGTCACTTCGATTGTCCCGTTGTGCAACAGAATTAATGACATTTATAGAGCTCTTTAGCCTATCCAAAACCATTATCGCAGGTCTGCAGATGACTGCGCAGGAGACTCTATTTGAGCGCCCGATAAAAGCATTGATTGACCAGATTATTTTATGATGCCCAATTCCCTAATGGCGCGGTCAATTTTCTTGACTGCGAACTCCAATTCGCAACTGGTTTCGAACGTAGTTTCAGAAAAAAACTACACGCGGCTGCATCAGCTATGGACCAAATGTGTTTTACTCCAAAACCCACTAGCATATCATTACCATCGTTGACTGGAAGGTCAAAGGAAATGTTTAGTTAGTTTAGTTTAGTTTAGATTGCAAAAAGCACTGTTACCTGTAATCATTTTTTTCACATTTACGTTTCCTTTAAATATCGAACTCGAAGAAAGTATATCTTTCAGTTCTAAAATGTTTGTCATTAGGAGACCTTTTAGGGGCGTAAGATGTGTCTTCATGTAGCGTCGTAATTTTCTATCTTCTAGAACCCCTTGTGAAGTACACAACATAACCCTTATCCACTTGAAACTTTCCTAAGTCCCGTCTTGTATCTTCTTAGCAGAACAGTGAAATAGTAGTTTCTGCATGAAACGTGTGCAACTTGTAGTTTGGAACCTACAAACGCTAACGCAGAATTGTGCTGGAATTGAAGAGCATCTCTAAAACTGTGGGATACATTTTCTGATGCAAGAAACTTTAAAACAAGCGTGATGCTAGTAGAAGCGAAGAGGCGAGTCCCGGAAAGTAGTCGCGGAGAAGGAGACACGATTGCTGGAACAAGAGCTTTTTCAGCCTGACGTTTCGGATTCTCACTCGAATCCATCGTCAGAAACAGAGTCAAACACATTTGGCAACTATTTCTTATAAATACTGCAACACCTGGGTAATCTGCCACCTTCTTCTGACTCTGTCTTTGATGATAGATTCGACTGTGAATCCAGAACGTCAGGTTAATAAAGCTCTTATTCTAACGATAGGGTCTTCTTCTTCAAGACAAACGTATGATTTCGCAAAATAAGCATAGGAAATGATATTTTTGTGCATTTTTTCCATAAAACGCATTTGAGTTTGTAGGGACATCGAAAATCAATGAGAATGGGCATGCTTTTCGGGCAGTCATTTTTACAAGTTCCGTTTTTACAGGTGACTGGGAATAAACACATTCAAAATTGAGAATCCGGAAACAATTGAAATATCTTGCGATCATTTTAAATGCTAATCGGTCTTACAATCCCACTCAAGTAATTATTTTTAGTCGAAAACTCATTTGAGCATTTCAGTTGGCATTTGATGAGATGCGTCGTCTACTGTGCGATAGCGTTCCATGCGCATGTTGGACAGAATTTCCTTCCAGATCGACAAACACCTCACTGTAAAGCGACAAAGACTTAAACCTTCAAAAACGCCTGGTTAATCTATCTAAATAAAATCAAACCGGCAGAAACTCAAACCTCTTTTTATCTACTTGCAATGCATTCTAGCCCTCGAAACTTATAGTGTTAGCTTCTTGTGTAGCCTTCTATGGAGCAAATTCGGTGAGTTGAACAAAATAATTGCATGGTTATGAAAACTACTGTCGAAATGGTCTTTTATTTTTCTGTTTCCGATGTGAAAAACTCCTTCGGACGGCTGCCAACTGACAAGCGATCACTGTCCGGCGGAACACTGCAGCCCAAGCCAAGCCTAGCGAGGCTATCAAAAAGCAACCTTGAAGATCTTTTGCGGAAAAGCGTGGCATTCAGCCCCCTCTGTGGTTGCCCTCATTTTAGTGTTCGCGTTGCCGCCAGGTTTTGAAGGCGAGACGGTTTTAGGACCCATACGTTACCTCCCTGACTTGTCGTAAATTCCACAAGACGCCCTTACGCCGGCCAGACTGGTCCATTTAATTGCAGCTGGAAGGACCTGCATGACGTATAAGCAACTGTCTGCGCGCCATTTTGGCGCCGCTTAACTGCCAGCCTAACGATCCTATTTTCACTCCAACTGACTTCTTTCGCCCCGCCTTCCACCAATCACATTGCAGACAACGTTTCATAAACATGACACACAGGTCCTAAACTGTGGTTACCTGTATCACAATGACTTCACGAAATGTGCAGTATTTTTAGCCTCCACGCACACACACACACGCACACACGATGGTTCGACCGTCGATTTCGACGATGTCCACCGTGTGCCCCACAGCAGCAGCAGCGGTGGTAGCAGGGACGGTGTCTTACGCAGGGGTTTTTAGTGCCAGTAGACTTGCTCTGCATCTACCTACACTATCTCCTCCACCCCCACCTGAGCCCGGTGTCAAGACCAAGTCAAGAAGACCGGAGACGAGGGAGGCCGCAGGTGGATGGCTCGGATGGAACCTCACCTTGGCGCTCCACTCCGCACCTCCTGGTCCACACAACAATGACCAGGACTTTAACCACAAAACAATGGGGTGATGGCAGTTGTCCACTTGTGCGACGACTGCCGACACTAGGGTCTGCCAGTGCACCCCGCAAGTGTTGGCATTTGTTATTGCGCACAGATAACGCCTGCCAGAACATGGTGTGGTCCCACTGGAGACTGCTGGGAGCAGTTGTTTTTATATACCGCACTTTGCCTGACGAGTAGGTCGGCAATGCGGAGCCACCAGCTACACCGCGGTCAACAAGGGTGTGGGCGGCACAGGGCACGAAGTAAGCGCGTGTCTGATTTATCCCCAGGGTCTGCATCAGCGACCTACTCAGCAAGTTACGTGCGTCATAAAATAAGAAGTTTGCGCAATTTCTGACAGCGGGTAGCAGATATTACTACTCAAAATGTAAGACCCAAACCAAACCTCTCTCTTCGTGAACGCCCCTTCTTCCTGCGACACTCGCCCCCCTTGGGAATCGAATTATCTCTTACTTAAACAGTCTTCTTTTGGCTAAATCATCCGTGGGGTTGGTTAAAATGAATGAAATTTCCAATAAATTGTAATCGCTCGCTTCCGCATATTTTGAAAAAATGATAACTGATAACAAAACTGATTCTCTTTTCGAATAGGTAATTATCAGTGTCGATCAGAAGTAACGCACCTTTCCTCTGAAACCTTTCTCACTTCTCCTTCGTTTCAAATGACTATCTGGTGGTAAGACGTGGCGACCTTAACATGCCGATATTTGAGAGATGCCTGCATTAAGACTTAGGATATTGGTCAACATACAATTAACTTCCAAAGTGGGACGACACATGAACGTTGTGAGCTTGACTCCTGATTACCTGTTAAGATTTATTGGACGTGAATCATGCTGACAAACAAGATTCAATCGCTAATGATGGTTTGGCAAGTGCTTCCCCTGCTCGTTTAAGTCACAGTTCGGAGGAGTAAAAGGACCTCAGTAGGAAAAATTAATCATCACTCTTTTTGTCAATGCCGTCTATGCCGTTGATATGCTTTATATATGAGCAGGCTGTTGTTGGGTTGGCAACGACAGGGTGTAGGACCCCCAACTGACTTGAGGTAGCCTGTGAAACGTGTCATGCGTTGAATGGTGGTAGAGGGGATTAACGGGTAGGGAAACACACATGACCGAGAGTAAGGTACAAGAAATAACTGCATTTCTGCCGAAAGTCTTATCGTACGCTGTCATTAGGTAAAGAAAGTGAGCGCGACAATTAAAAAGTAAATAAAATGCAATTCTCTAAAACTAACAGACATTGAATAAAGTATCGCTGATAAGTTTACATTTAGTCAGGAAGGAAACGGTGAATAAAAAGGGACTTTTACAGCGAAACTGAATTCTGAGGTATATGTTTGTATTTGCCAACTACTTGTGGGTCCTACAGCCTATTGATATGGTGGGGTTTTGTCAATAGAAGCGAAGAGACGAGTCTCAGAAAGAAGTCGTGAAGAAGGAGACACGATCTTTAGGGCAAGAGGTTTATTCGTCTGACGTTCCGTATTTTTCTTCGAACACATCACCAGAGACAGTAGCAGATACGGGTGGTTCATGCATAAGGAGTTGCAGTATCTATAGGATGCAGTCGCCATGCTACCGCATACCTATGAATATTTCCGACCCCCCTCCCCTTCATTAGGGATCGTTGCATGTGGTGTGCTGGTTGTTTGATGGCCGACATTCGCGTCGTTAATTGCTGCAATTTCATCACGTGTGCTAGGTGTTGGTGTGATGATTGCTCGACCATCTGACGCGCTCACCCTGATGTTGGAAAAAGTGTTCACCTGTGTGCTCCCCGCGTGGTCAATTATTCCGCCTAAGCGAAGCCTCAGCACCGAGTATAGAACTGAAAGATCACCGCACTTGTTAATGGAATGAAGGCTAGTAAACCATGACTCAGGCACCCCTCGGCTCAAGCGGTTGTCACCTATAGCGAGAATTTCGGCCTCGTCGAATTTGAATGTGTGGCCGGATCTCGTCGAATGAGCCGCAACTTGAGAAGTGGAGTCATTTTTTCGCAACGCTGCAGCCTGTTCGGCCATCCGCGTCAGGAGCTGTCTTCCGATCTCTCCGACCTAATCGATTTGTCCGCGACTGCGCTAGTTCTGATAAACGACTTATGAAGTTTCTTGCCGTGGCAGTGGGTCTTTCGGTTTCATTAACTGACGCCTGATGGTTGCCTCCGGTCTGTGTGTAACTCCAACCCCAAGTGGTGTGAGAAGGCGGCCGACAGCTTCCGAAACGTTCTTGACATATGGAAGCGCTCGCCAAAATGGCGTTAATTTCTAAATTGGCGTCTCTACCAAAATGCCTACGGGAAATTCTGGACACCCACTGATGAGCCGAACCCCTCGCAGCTGAGCCATGCAGCGACAGAATATCGACAAAACACGCGTGTCTGGGCTTTTAACTGGTATCTGTGCCGCTATTACGGTATGTGGTAACGCTAAAATATACCGCTAGCTGCCTGTCGACAGTCAATGAATTTAACGCGGTTATCCCCCTCTGATTGATAAATTTCCCCCAAAATATTAATGCATTAAATTTCCGTCTGCGCGTACAGATCTTAGTTTAGACTAACTTATTCCAAGTTATCAGTTAATTTCTAGGGAAATAAAAAAGTAGTAATTGCAGCCAAATGCCAGGAATGTAGTGCTGTGTCGTGTTTCTAAACCAGCTGCACAAACTTAACCCCTAAGGAACCTGATATTCTTTAGCGCCAGAATTCCAGCACACTTAGCGTATGCTCCCCACTTCCTGTCCGCAATGTTTTAATGCGCAGTGGACCTAGTTGTTTTTAAAACCAGTAGAGCCGCAGCTAATGTAAACAGGGGGGAGGTTCTTAAAAAAAACTACACTTACTAATGTCACCACCGTTGCAGACCTCTTCTTCCGGCAAAAGCGGTCACTGTGTACCATGCGACGTTGTTTTGGCAACCGCCGACAATAAATGCTGCATGATGGGTGGTAGACAATGGACAACGTTATGGAAGATGTGCGATAAGCCGTGTGTGGATGATGACAGGGTGTGTGAAGGGCGTGTCATGTGAAGCAGTTTTGGACATGTCAAACATTTTGGTTTCCGGACAGCATTAAATGTTATTGAAATAAACAACAGTCGTGGAGAGGGGGAAAGTGGACCTACAGTAGGTAGGTTAACCCATGAAATTAATTCGGCTTTCAAAATCTTTTCTATTTCCCGAATAATTTTGAACCAAACCTGGCGTTACATTTGCATCCAAAATTTCCAAACTACGAGCCGTATCTTTTCGGCGTACAGAAAAGCCACACAGTTCTCTATAGTATTAAGAGGAGACAATTTGGGGTCCATAAAATTTAGCAGTGAATTGGAGTCATATTGTTAACTTTGCAAGCCATATTGGTAAATTCAGAGACATGAAGTTTTAAGAACGCCCATTTCACGGTATTAAAAATTCTCACAATTAGAAACTTTTGAAGTCGAATTATATCCTTCTTACGAGTATAAAATTGAAAGAAGACGTCATCTTCTACCGAATTCGCAAACGGATGAATATTGTTATGCAGGTTTTCCACAAATATACTTGAATCTTTAAAGACATCGAAAATCAATGAGAAAAAATGAATGCTACGTAAACAGTCATTTTCTGCAGGGTGTAGTTTTTGCATGCAATCGGAAAAATTTTCATTGAAAAGCGGGCATTCTGAGGCCATTGCATTATTAGGAAATTATGCTGCATGATGATTAGTTTTAAAAGCCTACTAAATTAGTCTTTTCGAATCGAAAACGCATTTCGGAATTTCTATTGACATTTCACTAGTTGGCCCACCTACTCTAAGTGGCAGGTGCCTGCTGTTAGAGCAGTGTGAGGCCGATTACGTACTTCGCTAGTATAAACGCCTCTAGCCACCTCACTGTTGCACACTCGCGATGCCGTAAGGTAGGGGTCGTTCCAGCTGGAGAGTCAGTTCTATACTGTCAGGCACGAAAATATACCACATTGCTTCTTTGCGGCAGAAAACGAGGTTGACAAAACTTTAGCAGGAAGGCAGAGAATCCCGTGAATCCTATCGACTCTCCGCGCAAGCGACAACGACCAGATAGCATGTGTGTAGAAAGGTTTCCAAGCTCTGAAAAGCCTTAGCCTGACATTAATCTAAACCTTTTATTGATTTTTGCAGGTTTCGGTCGAACTAGAGCGACATTTCTAAGCTCGAAGGACGACGAAGAACGCATCCATCTTGCACGTGCCATCTCTCTTTGAAGATCGGAGATTTGGCAGACATGATATCGCAGCTCGTTTAAATTGCCTTATTAGGGATAGAGTATGTATAGTTTCTTCGACAAATTAGGTGCAGGGGGAAACGGTTTAAGACTCCAACTTTCCACTCGTCTGTTAGCCATATAGTCCAGTTCCCACAAGGATTTCGAGTGGCGGCACTTCTCCCACGAGAAGCAGAAACTTATGATCGCACAGCGTGTGGGAAATAATCATGTTTTTTCGTGTTTTCCAGACTAACTTAAATATCTGACGAAAAACACAAAGAAATCAAGTGTATTTCAGATAATCTCGCGAAGTTTTGGAATTCCTGTTTTACATGGATTCCCAGTGAATGCAGATACTTTCAGTCACAAGTCTACGGTTGCACTTTGATTTTCAGTGCCTAGATCTTATCGGCTTTCCGATTGTGTTTAATTGCTGTCTTGCTTTTCAGAAAGCGATTTACATCTACGCAGTGCCTGGCTCATTCGTGGCTTCGAGTAAGTGCTTGACTTTATTGCATTAATCCCTTTGGTCAAAAAACCGGTGGAACTTATAATATCAAATAGTTTCCCAGTATGATGCTTACATAACATTTATGCTTAATTTGGACAAGCTCCCATCAGAGAATAGGCAGGTCGTGTTAGGAGTGAGTATCATGTAAATATAGTTGGATCATCGGAAGCTAGAGCGGCCACCTTTACCTGCAACGATAAGCACAGGGACAAATTCTAGCGAGTTTGTTTATACTGTGGCGGGCTTGCACTACATACGATTCACTCTCTACTGCAACGCCCACTTTGACCTGATGGCATGACAAAGTTAGGACGGCCGCAGGCGGGCATATTTAGGATGATCGTGTCAGCGATAGGATGATTACGATGCCGCATAGCTGGTTGCAAGTTTTACGGGGGACTACACAATATCTAATGAAGGGTTGTCGACTCTGAAACTGGATTTTCAAAGGAGACATTCGAATCCCTCATTCATTTTCGCTGGCGACTTCAATTGTTGTTCTGTAATTCCTGCGAGTTACATCATTTTCACTTCAAAAACTCACGTTTTCAAAAATAAACACAGAGAGGTGTGATCTGACCTGCTGCGCTTGGTAAAAATGGTGACAGGCTTTTCTTTTCACCCTCCTTAAACTCTCATTTACACAGCTAAACGGCTTGTCATCCTCCCAGCAATAAATAATCGCACTGTGTGTTGAGAGGGGTGAACGAGTGGAAGCGACTGACCCACTCTAAAGTTTTCGGGTTTAACGATGTGTAATTGAACAGAAACCCCTCTTCCTTGTTTAACCCCAACTTTTCTCTTCTAAACTTTCGCAGTCTACGGGGTTTTAGCACAATACTAACGTCCAGCATTAGCTTACTTTGCAGCGTTTGAGGAAAAAATATTTGCCTCAACTTGACTACAAAAATTAAATTGCACAAAATGTAAATTAACAGTGTTGTAAGAATTAAGGGCGGCTTCTTTACTATCATATAGTAAATATAATAACATAGTAACATGCTTAGACAGATAAGACATGTTTAGAAAGATTAAAGGGTACTGTTTTTGGGGATTTCTCATTCACTGATAAAGTTTATCGTAGGGAGTATGGGTAAAGGGAAATTCGGAACACCGTTTTTTTAATAAACCCCGGGAACTGGCCACCGTGAAAACGATGGCTGATCATTTAGGCCCCCTTTTCATCGTAATCTACTGTCAGCCTCGTGGTTTTCGACTACCATGTAACGAGGCAGAGTGAAATTCGCCTCGATCAGTGCATGTCCCTCAGGTGCCGATGGTCCGACGAATCGAAATTTGTTCACTTCCCTCGCCGTTTTAATACAATCAAATACAGAATGCAGGCCTCCTTTTAAGAAATATGTTATAAACCACACGAAGTAAAGCATGGAAAATAGAATGGGCAATGGATAACGGAGATGGACTGGAGATGCATGGTAAGAGAGGTAAGAGAGAGATGAAAATACCGCAGCCCCTTGTGTAACAACCACTCGTTTCTGCTTTTTTGTCTCTGATTATGGATTCGAGTAGGAATCCGAAACGTAAGGCTAATAAACATCTTGTCCGGGCGATCGTGTCTCCTTCTTCAAGATGGAAAAGCAAGTCAAGTGGCCGTCAATGACCTCGGAAGTAAGGCGTTGTGAAATAGCAAGACTTTTCTCAGATGTACCATCACATGAAGTGTCATTGGAAATTCGAAAAATTTGCTTTGATAGGTTTGTAATATTAATTATGTTTTGGCATACCCGCAAGACGTTTCCACAACGTTGGGATGCCAGCCTTTGACTAAGCTTTTTGGTCGTCTGCAAATTCTATGCTTTGTAGAAAAATGACCATTTTAATAGCTGCATTTTCCCTTTAATTTTCGATCTTACTTTAAATTCAGTTATACTGTGTAGAAGACGTGTATAAAAAATTGCATTGTATTCGTTTGGTGGCAAATTACTTATCCAAACTTTCCACTTAGGGCGAAAGCATTTTAGGTTTTTAAAAACATCCCTAGTTCCCGAATATTTTGGCTCCACCTGTCATTTCACTTGAACTCTGGGTTTCCAAACTACATGCTGTATGCATTATGTCTGTGGAATTTCACGAATTTATTTGGATAATGAGGAAGGTTTTTTAAGCGCTTCTATAATTGTGTGATATATGTGAACCAGGTTTTACACTTTGCAAGTAGCGTTTATAAACGTGCTGATGAATTGCTGTATAAATGGGCACTTAACAGCCCCAGAAGTCTCATAATAGGAAACTCTCCTTAAAACCAAGAGCTTTTATCTATTTGAGTAGAATATCTAGAGAAACCAAATTTGCTACCCAGCAAAAACAAGAACAATTGATTTCGTGTATCTTTTTTATAGAATATAATCGAATTGAGGAGGGCATCGAAAGTCAATGAAAAAATGCACACTGTTTAAGTAGCCATTTTTTACAAATCCTCGTTGTTGTACACAGTCGAAATGAATCTCGTTCATATGCTGACATCTTGGTGTGACAGAAATGTCCTGTGGCTATCTTGCACGAAAATTAGTATTACAACCCTGCTGAAGTAGTATTTTAGGACCGAAAGCACATGGAATAATTTTGGTTAGCATTTCATTAGGGAGTACATTTGCCGTATCAACAAAAAATAAATTTTCTATGTCAAGACTGAATATGCTGAAGGGGAAGGTGTTTAAGCAGACTGGTGTGGAAGGCCAAACTGAACTCAGAAAAATGTCAGCACCCCTTTTCAACTACGCGTTTTGTAAGCCTCAGCCGAGGTTGACTCTGTGCACCGTGTACTACCATAGCCGAGTTGAATTGAGCATCCAGATTGAGGTGAGAACATTTCGATCAATTAAGAGACCTTCCGTCGACCTGTATTCTGTGAAATACGTTTGTCGACATATGCAGTGGGTGGGCTAACTCAAGAAATGTCAACCGAAATTCCGACATGTGTTTTCGATTTGAAAAGATTAATCAAGTGGGCTTGTAAAACTAATGATTGTGCAGCGTGATTCGACAATAATTCAGTTACCTCAGGTTGCCGGACCTCAAACGAACTTATTTCCGGCTGCAGCCACAAATCAAACTCAGCAAAAGATTACATTTGTCTATGTTATTAAGCGGATACTATATAGGGTTCATAATATTTAGCAAAGGGTTTGCGCTGCATTGTTAACGTTGCAAGTCACATTGGTAAATGAAGAGACATGACCTTTTACGGACAGTCTTCTTACGGTATTAAAAACTTTCGCAAATAGAAAATCTTTTAAAACCTAGTTTCATCCTTCGTTCGAGTACAAAATTTTAAATTTAATGTACTACCAAAAGAGCAAAAGGATGGATATTTTTATGCATCTTTCCCATGGAATACAATTGAATTTTTAAGGGCATCGAAAATAAATGATAAAAAGTTCATGTTATTTAAGTAGTCAGTTTTACTGAGTACTGGAATCACAATGTACAACAATTAGGTTTCGGTCAATTATTCATGAGTTCGCCCACCTACTGTAGGAAAAAGATCTTCACGAAATAGGCGCTGATAAGTAAATTCTTGAACATATGGGATTGTTCTGAAAAGGTACAGCATAGGAGAGAAAACTCATTATTGATGTCAAATGTTGAGCTACGAAAATTCCCATGGATGGACTCAGAATAACAAATAGCAAGCATAGGTGCGCAACCGAGGAATTCTTGTTATCCCAGTTTATGTATATGTGGATTCGATACAAATAAAACATGTAGGTGATAAGATAGGTCGATTACAGTTCGTTTTTCATATAAGTACGGATAATAAATTGCGATCGCAACTTAGGTTATATCTTTGCAATCATCACCGCAGAAACCAACAAAGTTTTCTTCTTAATTGCTGTAAGGTAAACACATCTACCAAGCAAGTTTACGTTGGCGGTGGAAACGGCAAAGTTTGCCTTACTTTTTAGACTTCTTTCTAAGCAGATCTGACGATAGCGCTATGGTCAAATCAAATTTTTCTAGCATATGGCTGTCTTTCGTTTGCCTGAGGTCAAAAAGATTAAGCGTTTTTTGTTGCCAGATACAACGTAGGCGTCACTGTGACAACGGAATCCTTTTTCAGAAAAAACACTGAAATGCTACTGATGTTTGCTTTTAATCATTTTCTAAACTGCCCGTTCCTCCGTTCATCGTTTTTAGGATAGATAGATATAATGTACAATAAACTAAATGTCGCCTGACGGAGTAACTATAGTGGGATATGTAAAGGCCTACCGGGCTTTCCCTGCTTTTCAAAAATACATATTGTTAACAAATTGGTCAGATTAATGAAAAAAGCGAAGTCTCCTTGAAAACACCAACTTACACTGATAAATTTTCTAGACGTCAGCATCAGTCCGTCTTTAGACTAAGCGCACTGAATAGGAATGGCTAGGCAAAGAAAAACAAGGTCCATGGTTGTCAAAAAGCTGTAGGCACGTCGGAAGCGGGCGCTACAGTTTTTGAACAGCGTATGATTCACTGGTCAACTAGCGGTCCTTGTGTAGCTGTAGAGTTTTACACTGACACGTCATCGTCAAACTATCCATTTTTCTCCTAAGTTAGAAAGCCAATGGATCGTATTTTTTACATCATTCTTTCAGCTCATTTAAGGGCCCTGTTCTTCCAAACTTTCAGGTTTTCTGATCCCCGCAGTCGAATAACTGTTCCCCTTAACAGAGTGAAAATGTACGTATGTCAGCCAGCTTTTAGAATGCTTCCCTTGCCTATTTTCGCTTTGCGAAATCTCAAGATTAACTCTTCTCACGAGGTAAATTATCTGCTTAAATCCTGATACCTAAAATCCTGGACGAAAAGAAAAACGTTCTAGAGAAAATTTCTAAACTGTTTGCAAGTATTTATGCACTGTTCAGAGGCCTTAAAACAGAAGAGGTAAGTCGTCAACCGTCCGATTTCGGGACATGACAAGATCCTGTGTGAACCAATCGCCTTAAATTAGATTTCAATATTTTATTGCCAAAAGGTCAAGCTGGTCAAATGTCCATCAAAAACGCAGGTGAAAATCAGCCCTTCAAATAAAGGTGTGGTTCAGGGATATGGGAAAATATTTATAAAAGATCACTGGCTCTTATTGAAAATTTAGTTTAAATTAGGGGTTTGTTGAACATCGATCTAATTATACGATAACATTAAAGTGGCAGTTGTTTTCGAAAGGCGTTAGTTACTTAGGGATGGTGCAGATTGGCGAGATGGCCTGGTTGTAAGACGAACGAGAGGTTCTGCTTATATTTCACTTTTCCGAGCAAGAGGCCACGCAGGTACTCGCATAATGACAGGCAATCAAACATGAACTGGAATAGCCGTTGTCAACTTTTCTGTAAGATATAGTTATATAGCCCCACCTGATGGTCGCAATACTGTTGGCGTTGGGGCAAGGGGTTAAAGTTGGGGGTTAAGGCATCTACAGTGCGTGACCTATCTCGTGAACTTTTGGCTGAAATTCTGAAATGGGTTTTCGATTAGGAAGGATTACTTGGTCGCGAATGTAATACCGATTATCATAAGGCATAGTCTTATAACATTTTGGATTTGGCAGGATGTCGGCTTTTAAATGCACTTCTTTTCAATCTCTATTAGAAAGCGCGCTCGGTAAAAATGACTACTTAAGTAGCATGCATTTTTCTTATTGATTTTCGATGGTCTTGGAAATTCAAATATATTTTATAGAAAACACAAACAAAAATATGCTTTTTTTAGTCAATTAATAGAGAATTACGTCTTGTTTATATTTTATACTTAAGGAAGGAGTATAAATAGGTCTTAAAAATTTTCTAATTATGAGACTTCTTAAGACCGCGATATGTCCATTTACATAGCATCGTACCTGGCCGTTTACCACTGCTCCTCATGAAATGTACAACATGGTCCGCATTCATTGCAAAATTTTATGGACCCTGTATGATATCTTTTTAATGACAAAGAAAAATATGGGATTTTATTTACGCGGAACGCATGCACCTTGTAGATTGTAATCACTAGGCGCTAATGCAACGAATGATCAGACCCCAAATTTTTCGGCAATTAGAAAACTTTTTTAAAACCTAATTATACTCCTTTCTTAAGTATAAAATATAAACAGGACGAAATTCTCTATTGATTGACTAAAAGAAAGTATTTTTTTGTTTGTGGTTTCTATAAAATATATTTGAATTTCCAAGACCATCGAAAATCAATAGGAAAAATGCATGCTACTTAAGTAGTCATTTTTACCGAGCGCGCTTTCTAAAAGAGATTGAAAAGACGTGCATTTAAAAGCCGACATCCTGCCAAGTCCAAAATGTTAAAAAAGTATGCCTTATGATAATCAGTATTACATTCGCGACCAAGTAATCCTTCCTAATCGAAAACCAATTTAAGAATTTCAGCCAAAATTTCATGAGATAGGTCACGCACTGTATTTCTCAACCACTCAAAGTACAACCACGCATTCCAAATAGCTTTCATTTTGCATACAACTGTTTGACCTCGTCGAATGTGCGTTTCCCGGTCCCACCTGTAAAAACCCCCAACTACCACCGGTACTGTATTACAGGTGCTTGGGGTTTGGGGTGGTGGGGCTGCATAACCACATCTACCCAACTTTTCCACCGAGGACTTTTTTTCGTGAAAGGAATTCAGGCTTGAGAAGTTGGACACACAGGTCCTTCTGACTGGAATTTTACCTGTAGTGAGCCACTGATCTGTCAGGCGCGTCCACCTGTGATGGCCTACAAAGGGCGACTTCTTTGGTCGGACGCATGGATAAGCACACAGCAGCACGCTTTTCTTGCCAACCAATCAGGGGCTTCTGCGCATGACTGACCACCCATTGCCGAAGTGAATATTTGTTCTGTCCCGTCGGGACACGCGCCCCCCACCTGGTTCACCTGGGTGAGGCGTATTGTCAAGTCTCGATTTTTTGGGGCCTCGATTCAAGGCTGGACCCTTCCAGTGGCGTCTCTTGCCGGGAGGCAAGGACTCAAGTAACGCACGAGTGGTGGTAATATATGTTTAACTGTTGGGACAAATGAAACTGAGAGATAGCTGTTTCCGATAAGAAAAACATTAGAAGTTAGGAGTTGTAAACGGGCGAAAAAAAATTAAAAAGGAGGAATTCGGTTGTATATGCCGATCGAACTGACCCCGACCGGTGACAACCAATCACATTGAAGGGGAAAGTGTGCAGATGTCGTTAACTCCGATGCTAATGGTGGCCGCAGACGAAGATATAGTTGAATTATACTACGATGATGGCTTCACTCCTAAGCCTTAGCTTACGACGAAAGCCTAGATATAACCCTCAATACTAAGCCTAGCCCTAACCTCTACCTCTTATTCCCTATCCCCACACCCTAATCCTAAACTCTGGCCCTAACCGCTCACCCTAATATTAAATTTAAATTTGCCCCTAATGGTAGTTCGAGGGAGGCTTAAATGGAGTTGGGGGGAGAGGGAATGGCGTTGGATTAAGTCTAGTGACATAAGACGGTACTTCAAAGAGGTAAAGGCTAGGTGAGGCCACATGCTTAATTTTCAGCCTCTCAACTACTTCTAGATCGACCTAATGCGGTCTCATAATGGGCAAACTACGGATACTAATTTAGTTTTTGTGATAGCCTACCAATAAAGAAGGATGTTGAGACTATCAGATGCAACTGGAAGTAGCAGAGGTCGGGTGTGAGGACGTTTACTAATGTAGACTGGCCGTTTAATAAAATCTCGGTATCTGATTATAATTGGGTTCGCTTGTGCCCGCACTCTAAGCGGTCGCACAAAGATAACAAACAAAAATCGATATCACAGGTCGACGTCTGAAGAAGATACAAGCAGACCAGGAAATCGCATATCCTTCTAATATGACTTTTAATATCGGTCTTGACAGTTGCAGGGGGACGCTAAAAGGTCCAGAAGTATGGTTATTCATTTGCGCATTAGGTTGAAGTTTAAAAATACGAATCCGTCTGTAAATGTTGATAAAGGATGTGTATGTCAACATGGAAAATATATTGGATGAATACTGGAGGTAAGTGCACAAGCATCAATGGTTAAGCATGAGACGAACGGCAGTCAGAAAACTTAAATAACGACCTAAAATACCAGATACGCACAGTTTTCGGTGGCCGTTTCTGCTTGCAAATTGCGCTCCTCCATTCTTTTCAAGTCCTCAGACCCCTTTCGCTTAGAAAACCCTTCATTGTTATTACGTTTTTTTTATTTACAGGGCAAGGGAAAGATAAAACGAAGCGCTACTGTGAACAAGGCTCGACTGAAACATTTTGTCTATCGTCGGAAATGGCAGGTAGGATTGGGTAGACTGGCTATTTGCTTTCTACGCATAAATTGAATATTTTCATGTGGAAATCAAATGACAACATTGTAACCACATGATTTCTAGGAAAACGACTCCAGAGAACACTGGTCCTGCAGACAATGTCCTTGTCTGGCTAAGGTTTGTTAGGATTTAGGCCGCTTTCAGAGGGGAAATCTTCGGGTAGCGTGTTTTTTTAACAAATAACTGAGAGTAGGCAGTAAGTACGATTCGGTAGGGCTAACACCTCCGAGGGGATCATCACTTTTCAAAGAGAGGACTGGAACTGGAAGAAGAAGAATTGGTAGTGGTAGTAGTAGTTGTTGTTGTTGTTTTTGTTTTTGTTGTTGTTGTTGTAACAGCTGCACCCACAGTAGTGCCAGCAATATTATTGTCATTAGTAGTAGCAGTAGTAGTAGCGACAGCAGTATTAACAGCAGTGGTCGTGTTAATAATAGTAATAGTATTAGCAGTAGTAGTAGTAGTGGTAGTAATATTAGTAGTAGTAGTAGTAGTAGTAGTAGTAGTAGTAGTAGTAGTAGTAGTAGTAGTAGCAGTAGTATTAGTAGTCGTAGTGGCAGCGGCAGCAGAAGCAGTAGTAATGACAGTGAAGAGAAATATCCGCGGGAAGTGCGGGAGTTTGCAGAGTCTGCGCACAGAAACTCAAGACCTTCGTGGAGGTAAAATTTAAATCGTGTGACTTTGCCAAATGCTATGTTCCGATCCTGCCATAGATGTATTTCAGTAAATATTTATCTGAATCACCAGACTATGGAAGACGAGTATCAAGATAAAATTAATATGACCCTACTCTAAAACACTTTAACTAATTTAAGGAATGGTTGCTATTAAATGTCATAATGTATATTCAGAGGAAAAAGATATGATCGTTGGGACAAGAAATTTATTGGCCTGCCGGTTAGAATTCTCATTTTAACCCACCATCAGAAGCAGCCGCAAAACGGTAGCAGAGGCGCAGGGAGTGCAGTTTTTCGACAACCACGTGTCTGTATAATGAATGGCACTCGCGTTCTTATCCAGGAGCCTTGTTTGATGTGATGCTTGCCTGTCGGACCGTGCCCGAGTAGTTAATTGGTGTGATTTCATCACTGTTGTGGATTATTAACATGACGACTACTTAAAAGTTTCGTTCACTGTCACCAGAACTATTAATCGTCCGCATTCCCCAAGCATGGCTCAGGCAAAATAGCAGCACAGTATGCCGAGGCGGAAGGTCACTGCGCCTTTTTATTGAGAACCATGATTCAAGTATCTTGCGGCTCACGTAAGGTCATGAAGCTGAGTGACGAATGACCGAACATACAGCAGCAGCAGCGGCAGTAGCAGTGAGGGAGAATTACACCAGGTACCAAACCGCGGCTCATTCCACGGGACCCAGCTTGACTTAAGATTATTTCCCATTGCAATTTATTCAAGGCTTGCATTATGCTTTTATGAGTTTGCTTGCCTCCCAGGGTCCATTCAGGTTTGGTTGAGGCCTTCGTTTCAAGACGGAACAACTTGCTGGGAGCACTGAACTCGACAATATGAGGAAGATTGATAGAATAGGTCGAGCGCCAGAAAGACTGTCGCTTTTTATTTAGAACTCCCTAACCTGGCTTCAGATCTACCCACAGCTGGACAGGAAATCAAACTAGATGACAAATTCACCTTAAAATTCTGCAAATCAACGTCCACGCCGAGTCCTGCTTTCATACTGCAGGTTACAAAAGTGTACATCAAAATTGCTATCCCGTCCTACTAAGATAAATAAGGTACTCATTTTGGTTCCCGCAACTAGTCTGGAGTAAGTGGACTTCAAGAATGTGTCCGCTAGGAGTCTGGTTATTCTGGTGCCCTCCTCTAGAAAAAAATGTGCGAGTAGGCAAATAAACTGCTTATTTGGGATGTACGATACGCACGCTGGAACAAGACTATTCAACTCACAGTCCATTAACAAGAGCAATGACCCCCCACCGCATATCCTGCGTTGAGACTGCCTGAGCGGAGTAATTAGTTAACGGGGGAAGTAGCAGACTACCGCTGCTTTCGGTAGCTCTTGTCGGTGGGTCAAAGGACTGAGTAATAAACAGTAGTTAAAATGCACTTCCCAGGTGGCATATCAAAGGCAAACGGGCATTCACCGCTACTCGAGACATCAGACAGCAGGTGAACGCCCATTCTTCTTTTGGTCGAGTAATTATCATGCCGACGACCAACACGAGGGATGAAATTACGAGCGAGGGCTGGTGGTGACCAAGTCTTCATCGCCCCCAGTTCCACCACATGGCGATGAGCGGGGAAGGGTTTTTCTTCGGCCTCGACATAAAGTCCACTGTTAACGTCCGTCTTTGAATCGACTAGACACACTTGATCGACTGGAGCACCTGTCTTTTGGTCGGTAGTATGCCGGATATGGCTCTTGAAATCAGTGAAGGATCAGAAGGAAACTTTTACAGCCAGATCCACGTGACAATAATTAAAAATGTTCAACAGTCTGTCTGGTGCGGTAGACAAAATACGTATGCACAATTCGCAAAAGGGTGTACTTTTACCAATCTTGATGATCAACAACATAGGTGGGACATTCTGGAATAGAAGGGGAAGTTAGTCGGAATCAAACGAATCGCAGTATGTGGACTGCGTTCGAATTCCAATCGGTTCGTCGGAAAAAATCAAACGATGAGCTTTCAACTTAAATGAAAACTTATGTGTATCGCCTTCAGCAGAAGGGGAGGACTGAAGGTAGTCGAGCTCTGTCTGTGAGGAGAAATGCGAACTGCTATTACCTGTCTGTGCTAGTTGCAAGACGTCATGCGAGAGTCCCTTTGGGCATTTGAGTTCAAGTCTGGCATACATGGAGACTGTCAGTCGGCAAAGCTGACGGTTTATGACTTGTTTTTGTCGTGGAGCGTTTAGTCGCTGCAGCCAGCTTAGATTTTATCGATAGTCTTCACAACAAGAGTTTTTTGGGAAAATTCTTACAGCTAGATTCGGGAAGGTAATGACCGAACGTACGTCCGCTTTCAAACTATTTTCAGCAAGCGGTGTAGCTAACGCGCGTCGGTCTTACGCGTACGGAAGAACGTCATGCAGACACCGTTCAAAGGTCAGCTGACCTGATGCCCGCATGTAATCTTTTGTGTTTTTCGCACACCCCTCCCTCCGTCCACGGGTTTTCCCAATTTTCCCCACATTTGCCCTGATCATCATTACCCGCCGCTTATTCCCCTTTCGTAATCTACACCTCTGGCTTGCGTGAAAAGGTGGACATTGCTTGATTTTCCCGACTACCCATACCTCTGAATGTTAGGGGACGAGTATACGCGTCCCCCCCCCACCCTGAAGTTCCTTCTTCTATAGAGGTTTCTCTGTCGAGAGCGATTGTCTGTATACCGCTCCTGAAGTATGACGCAGGGCCACCCGAATGCAAAAATTGTGTTTTTTGCGGACGGGGCCTTTCAAGAGAGCAAAGGTGGAAATCTGGAGTATGTAGAGGGTGCAATTTGCCACATGCTTGTTGTAGTGGGTAAAACGGTTGCTCTGAGATAAATATGGTTTTTTTCCTTTTATATATCAGGTTTTTCTCCCCTAAAAAGCCCCTATCACCACATTGCCCACATTACATGTGACTTTGGGGGTGCATATGTCCCTTACCGACTGTTTTAAGTAATATTTTACGACGTAAATGAGCTGAATGAGTGTGGATTTACCAAAAGTCGAAGCATATTCACCCGCTATGCATCTGGACATTGTTAGGACTCGACATGGCCGATTTCAGTTAATGCAGGTAGTTGGTAGCTCTGTCTTCTTCCTACAGACTTTCTTAAAAATGACGGCATCACGTTTGCCCAGCACTCGAGGATGGCTTCCTCAGCCCGATATCTTTTTAATCATATCTTTGATCGCGGATTTAAATTATAATGCAAGAACTGCCCTTGACAACCAGTAAAAGGGCCATATGAAGCCGTTCGCTTTTCCTTGTGTCAAATCGCTATCCTAACCATGCTTGCCTACTATTTGTAGAAGGCTGTCAATGCGATCATTGCCCTACAACGGATGGGTGTTGTTCTCACACACAACAACGAGAAAACCAACATACGCAAATTTCTGCAGATGGGCCCCTCAAAAACCGTTGCACTCACACGGCGCGCCTCTATACAGCCGCCTCCAAAGGAAGTTCTGCCTGTCACGGTGGACATTAAGCGCAATAAGTCCTTCCAAAGCGGTTCCCCACCAGCCCTACGGAAGCCAGCATCAAACACTTCCACTGATACGGGAAACTCTGTCAGTCCAGCCGGAAAGAGTCAGAAGGAAAACGCAACCGTCCCTCCAAAGCAAAATTCTGGCCCCAACGCAATAAAGACTAATGAAATGAAATCGCCACCTGCCGCTGCTACTCAAAAGGCGCCGACAATTATTGAGCCGTCAAAGAAGGAAGAGAGGGGTCTACCGCGTAACACCGTCCAGGAGCCGAGTAAGGTCGCGGAGCAGAAGAAGGAGAATTCTCAGCTGCCTCGCAACGACGACAAACAGCCAAAGAGGACTCAAGAGCAGGATCGAGGTAAGCCAGCGGTACCAGGCGGCACTGTCCAAGAACAGACGAAGAGTCAGGAACGGGACAAGAGGGCAACACAAGTGACTCCCATTGAAATCCGGGAACCCACAAAAACTGCAGAAGCTCCAGGCCCCCTGAAGGAACAGAAATCAAACAGTACGCCAGCACCCAAACCAACGTCCCCGCGCCCGCAGAATTCGCTGCCTCCCAAGTCACCCATGCCGTCCGAAGTTGTTGCCTCCAGCAGTCGGAAGACCTCCAGTGCGTCTGTTGCTTCAACGGCCTCGAGCGCCCGGTCGGCAGCACAGAATTTGGTGGCTGTAAAGATGGCCAGTCTGTCAAGAAACACTCCCAGCATAGCCAGTCGCATCCAGATGTTTACGGCTGCTGCAGAGGCGGCTGAGAAGAAGGGCGCGACGGTTAAGAACAGGAAAAAATTCTCTCTCTACCAATAGTAGCGGGATCCCGCATCTCGCTCTGCCGCCTGATCTCGCCTTCAAATACATCTTGCCTACTCCAACACGCCCGATGAATATATGTTGCACGCGCACACACCCACCCACACCCCGAGATGCTCTCTGTGATAATATCGTTGCCTGCTGCAGCGTACCCCTATCATTACCTGCTTTGAGTACACATGCCAAGTGCGAGTATGAATACGTCAACATTTATGCTCCCACATCCCTTTTATTAACCCAGTTTTCCTTACCTCCATCTCCGCCAGCTTTTCCTTACCAAAACCGCTTTCCGTTTATTCATTCCGCCCAGCACTCGGGGCTGGATGTTTGGTTGATTACCACTTACGCAGTGGTCGGTTCCTTTATCTGTAAATAAAGATGGTCACAGCAGGCTTCTGGTTGCTTTCTGCAGGTGCTTGTGATAAATGGGTACAGGGGAGAAATAGCCCTCTAGTTTCCCTCTGATTGTCCAGAAAAGTGGGAGAATTCTGTCAATTATACGATGACAACGTCCACAGTGTACCCTACAGGATATTGGGTATAACGGGCTGCCATTGAAGCATTTTGTGGTGATGACAGACTTGCGCAGTATCTGCCGCACTCTCTCCTCCCTCGGAGACGTCACGGTGTCAGGTTGACGAGGGAGAGATAGGGTGCAGTGGCTGGCTAAGTTTCCCGGCCCGTCTACGCGTACCGCACACGAGCTGGTCCCCGAAGATTGCGCCAGACTCTCATGAGGACGGGCCAAATTCGCACGAATGGGGTGGCTTGAGGGCGGCATTGTATAAAAGCAACCTAACCCGACTTTAATTTCGCCAACAACTCACCCTGCGTATACACAAACACACCCAGTACTGACCACACGAACCAAGCGGCCCTGTCATTTGTTAGCTTTTCAGGCCACGACTTTAGGCATACCGTATTTATCCTGGTGAGGAGAGCGTTGGTGTGTCTTGGCGATCGATCTCACTCTTTCGTGACCCAACTGGGTTTCGAAGCTTGTCAATAAGTTGGTGATGGGGTTGGGATGATTGGCTAACAGTGCCAAAAAGCCTGTCTTTGTGTGCCACACACGACCTGGTGAAAAAATCATGCAGCAGAGCACAGCAAATAGCACACATACCACGTGCGTTTGAGGCGTATATTCTACGCAGTTGGTGGGTGATGCTGGCTGGGCTTATTTGTAGTCTGCGCATGTGTGGACTGAGGTGGGGAGGGGAAGGACGAGGTGTGGCCGCGGGGTTTGGACTGCTGTGTTTGCCGCAGATTTTTGCGGAGGCGCACATGGTCGAATAGGCTCGTGCAATGACTAAGTGTCCGTGGGCAGTGTAGGCAGTAGAGGCGGGTGTGAGGGGCAGATGTTGGCACTCCTGTCGCTAGTTCAGCCTGGATCAGTGCGACGGATTCGCAAGTGACTCACTGGGCCAGTGTGTGCGAGGGGGGGATGAGCCGAACCATCTGTAGCTGTGACATGCAGCAAAATATAGGCAAAACACGTGTCTGGTATATTAGCTAGTACTTGTGCTGCTAGTATGGTATCATCAGAGACAAAAGTAGACACGGGTGCTTTATGCGCAAGGGGCTGCATTATTTATAGGATGCAGTCGGCATACTACCGCATACCTATGAATATTCACCCCCCCCCTCCTTCATCAGGAATCGTTGCACTTGTTGTGTTGACTGTTTTATGACCGACGTTCACGTGGCTAATTGCTGCAATTTTTATCCCGTACGTTGGATGCTGGTGTGATGATTGCTCGACCATCTTATCCACCGACCTTGGCATTGGGATAAATGCTCACCTGTGCGCTTCCCATGTGGCTATTTACTCCTCGTAGACAAAGCCTCAGCATTAAGTATGGAGGGGGAAATTTATTGCATTTGTTAATGGACTGGGGCCAGTAAACCATGACTCAAGCAGCTCCCGGCTCACGCGGTTGTCACCTCTTGCGAGAATTTCGGCCTCGTCAAATTTTAATGTGTGGCTGGAACCCGTCGAATGAGCCGAACTTGAGAGCTAGCGTCATTTCTCCGCACCGCTGCCGCGTGTTCGGCCACTTACGTTCTGAGCTGTTTTCCGGTGTCTCCGGCGTAGTTACTTTGTCCGCAACTGCACCAGATCCGATAAACGACTCCCGACGTTTCTTGTCGTAGCAGTGGGTCTTTCAGTTTCATTAAGTGACGCCTGATGGTTGCCTCCGATCTGTGTGCCACTTAAACCTCAAGTGGTGCGAGATGGCGGCCAACAGCATCCGAAACGTTTTTGACATACGGAAGCGCTCGCCAAAATTTGGCGTCTGTGCGATAAGACCTTTCGTCTCTTTTGCGCATGCACCAGTTGACGAAGTTGCGCGGGTAGCCATTGGCTTTGAAGACCCGTCGGAGGTATTGTAGTTAGGCAATCTTGTCTTCCGTCTCACTGTAGTGCGTTTCGACACGCCGATAGAGCGTCCTTACACAACTGCGTTTATGGCTGATTGAGTGGTTGCTGTTGAAGTTCAGTACTTGCATCGTATTTGTCACTTTGGATTTTCGTCCACCGCAATCCAAGCCGAGTTGCCCTCGTGGCAACGTTGCCATAGAAGAGTAGCTTGGGGGAGCACTCTTCGTCCATCCTAACGACTCTGACGACCCGTCGTAGGTTGATTTGCCTTTGCATAACGTGGATGACGCAGAATTCCGGCTCGTTCCAGGACTTCCCTGCCTGAGATTCTGTCTTGTAACCCCAACTCCAGTACTCTCCAGAGGCAGCTGAGATACGGTGTCGTGTGCGTATTGTATTCCAAAAAAGCAAGTCTGTGACAGGTAGCGTGACTACTCTCGCCGTCTCAGGATTAAGGTTAATAGCGGGAAACGTCGGTGAAACAGGAGAAACAGGGGGAAAAGAAGGGCTGGGGAAGAAGGAACCGGGGGCGGATGAGTAGATAGGCCTATAAAGGCAATTCTTTAGGCAATTAAATGAAATAATTGCAACCACCTACGCAAGAAGCAACACGTTCAACTCTTGTCACATAACCATTGTCGTCCCTTATCTCAATGAGCTCGTTACTACCGTCACCTAACACCATGTAAGATAGTGTGCTTTTAAAAAAGTCAGAAAACAAAGCACGGTCCTTGCATTTATCAGTTCGTTCTGTGACGGGCAAGGGGTGCACCATCGCTGTCGTCTACATTTCACTGTGCTTCATATGGCCTGCCATGTGACTGTTTGAGGCAAGTCTTCCAAACGCGGGATTTCCATGGATCGTCGACTTTGAGGGAACGTGTCTGAGAACTGGATGCGTCTGAGAAACCGAACACACGGAACCGCATTCCCCCCCCCTCCCCATACATGGCGCAGACGCCGTGTGCACTTAGTGCAGACATATTCCACACCGTAAACTTGCGCGCCGAGTTGAAGTAACTAACCGACAAGCTGTCACCGGTGGTTTTAGGTATCTCCTCTCAGCTTGACTAACGCTGGGAGACCGAAGACGTAACCGCACATGTCAACTCTACGCCTCACGTTTAAGCAGTCACGTTTGGAAGGGGATAA